TGAATCTTGGCAAAGGATGCCAGCGGTACTCAACAGTACAAATGTTTACCCAGGATCATCATTCATTTATTGTTTCATGATATCGTTCGATGTAGAAATGAATCGATACATCTGCCTCATCTGTTTCTTGCTTTTTTTTTAAACGTATGGTCATTCGCAAATCGGTTCAGCAGGATATTCGCTGACAGGGGCAACCCAATCGGATTCGGGCCTGTGGTCATCTTGCCTGTCCTGCAATGAATTCGAGAGATAGGCATTGGTATGGCCTGCATGAATATTATCAGATGACACCTAGGATTTGTGAGATCTGAACCAGCATGAAGGAAGCTCTTCAGTCCACTCCTTTGCGTACTTCGCTAAACCCTTTCCCCTACTCACTGGAATTGTGGTCGTATGATGATTCCAAGATTGATTTCATGCACCAAACACAATATGTCACCGGAAAATTATTCGCACAAAATGAAGTAAACCAGTCTTCTGGTGATGGGAACGCATTTAGTTGTTCTTGGTCGTGATTCTACTGCCACAGATTTCGGCCAAAACCCACCCCCCAAAAATCGTCACGGCAGGGATTTTCGAATTTTTGAATTTTTGAACCCATTGAACTCAGGGCAAAAATGTGAATCCGATTATCCCGATTTTGCTCCAATTCCCGGATTTGATCGATTCTACGAGTTCACACTAAGAGATGCGGTTGGCAGCAAAAGTGCGAGGCAATTGGAAGGTCGTTCGCTAACTGGCTCAATGAAATGGCTCTGAAATTCAGGTGTGCAGCGTTTTGAGCTGTCCTGCAGCAAATGCGTGCAATAGAAGATTATAGGATTTGCATGAATACTATCAGATGACACTTGGGAGTGGGAGGAAAGCGGGATCAGGATCAAGAATGCTCTTCAGTGTGATTCCCGACCTCGAGTTCGATTACCTCTCCTTAGCTTGTTCTCTTACCGGGTCCGCTCCCCTACATCATTGTTTCGTCTCATGAGTTCGTCAATTGAAGTAAAAAAAAAAGTTTTCGTATACCGGAGTAGTAGTTCTCATATATTTGTCAGTACTTGGTACCGATTTGATGATGACTTGGAGATGAATCGAGGTGCATGGTAATTGTATTGTATTAAGTCAGTTCGATATAGAACTTCAATAATGAGTATCCAAGAACCCCATACGGTTGGTTTGTGGCAACCTACCTTTATGACAGGTGCGGAGCTGGCGGAAGAGGACAATCCAGTGCAGCGTCAAGACGCCCACGAAAAGGGAGGTCACTGCCCTTGCCGCTCGCGTCTCAGGCTATTGTCGACCATGTTTTCGCAGCTCCAGTCCCTTGACCCGAGTGCGGAGAAGTCCATTTCTTCTGTGTTCTTCGATCCACGGTTCGAACATTGCGGAGTTGGCTCATCTAGCCGCGTTATCCTAGCTTCAATGTCTATCCTCCGTGTTGCCATGCGTTGGTTTTAGCACAGGTTTGTAGCTCTGGAGTTGTACTCATGTTGGAGTTGTACAGGGCGTATCTGTATAAAACCCGGATTTGTTTATCGAATAACTTTTCTTGTATAGCACCGTTTCAGTTCGTTGAGATCTCATTCAAAAGAGTAGGGTTGCCCATTTTATCTGCACTTAGAACTTTATCGATTCATGCAATATGAATACAGATACGGTAGATGGCGTAAACACTACTTTTTTCGGTCTTTTTCGAGAAAAGTTGAAAGTTTTATACATTTGAATGCTACAAAAATACAGACAACACGAGTGCAAAGTTCAACAAGTCCTCCGTTATTATGGATGGACTTGCGCAGTCTTCGACGGGAGGAAGCAAGGGTGTTCTCGCGCATATTTGACGTGATCTCTGCGAAGGCATTGACAATGTGTCGTTTGAGTTCGCCAAGATCGTTGATGTTGGCGGTGTAAACATTGTTTTTCACAAAGCCTCGTGAGAAGAAATCTGCTGCTGTCCCCACGATCGTGATCACAATTTAACCCCAAACGAGCAACGAAACGCGACAGAAAGGGTGGTCAGGGTGCGCTGTGTTACAGTGGCGCATAATGAGATGAGTAGTGTGCGCGCCAACAGAGGTTTCTCCGCGCTCACAACTTCAATTGATAAAGTTTAAAGTGCGCATAAAATGGGAAATCCTACTCTTTCGAATGAGATTTCAATGAGCTAAAGCGGTGCAGTACGGAAAAACGTAATTCGAAAAACAAATCCGGGTGTAACGTTTGACTTTGGATAGGATGTTGAGGCTTGCTCGTGAGAATTCCAGTTTTCTGTTCCTTGTCAATGAAAATCGGCTCACAATGTTCAGGTTAGACCTAGGCCTAGGACTTTAGCCTTTTGTCATGGATATGTGATTAATGTTTGCCTCTGAATGTCTAGGACCTATTATTTAGCATTTTTTCGTGCTTCAAGCCCGTTCCTACTCTGGAAGAGATAGGCCTAGAGCTATTGAGGCAGTAATTTATCATGATCATAGCTTTAATTTTCTTTCCACAGATATAACCTAATTGGGTCAAACGGAGGAACGCCTAGATATTGCTATAAAAAAAAAGTACAAGTGAAAAGTTGCAAGACCTCAATGGGCTCATGAAGAACTTATGAGAGATTCTGAGATCTCATGAGTACATGCGGTGTTCTTGAGGAACTCATGAGATCCTAATGAGGATCTCATTAAGGTTTTTTCAGCAGGGGCCGAAAGGACTCCCAAAGAAGATTGGAAGTGGTCGATCGGGTTCGGGGGTGAGAGCCGGTCTTCGTGCTTCGTGCTTCGTGCCTTGCCCACATCCATCGCAAAGCTCACTCGGGCGAGCCGAAGGAGTGGAAGATGAATCTTGAGCGCGAAAAGAGGGAATTCACCGAGAACGAGAGGAAGTCTAGGTCCGGGGTATTTGGGCATTTCGTCTCCTCTCGTGGATCCGCCGAGGCACAGGGAACGGCTCGCGTCGTCCGAGTCATTCTACCGGTATCATCGACGAACGGCAAAAAGAGAGCGTTATGCAGGAAAAGCGATTCGTACGGATGGGATTCAGTTCGCATTTTCAATGCGCATTCCAAGTGGCCGTGTCCTCGAGGATCGTTTCCGCGCGTGGCTCGCTTCCTGAGGATTCAAAATCGGCGAATCGCGTATCGATCTCGAGGAAGGGTACGAGATCCGATTCGTACCCCTTCCTCGAATTTCCTTAGTAATCCTGGGAATCGAGTCTCACGAACCACGCCGGGAAAGGTGAAGGAAAGCACCGGAAGGTAACCGCATCGTTTTGTTTCTAGAGGGAATTTCACTCATTCGAGAACCCAAACACATTAGGAGTCGGTGGTCTCATTTCGCTTATGTGCTACAATTTTTTAAGCTTGGAAACCAATACTATGGAAATCAATAGAATGTCGCATAGGTGAGATGGAAAAGAAATGGATCCGATTCTACGACACCTTCATTTGTTGATGTGCCCGTCGCCTCCCGTTGGGATATTTTTTTTCCCGTCTCGGGGATGCATAGCGTTAATTACTTGCTAATTACTTTTCTTACGAACTGCTTAAGATATATTAGTCGGGTCCCCCTTTAAGATATGAGGTTAAATTTTGTAGACGATGAAAAAATTCGGAGCCATTCCGGAGGATAGGCCATTCAGGCTCTCATCTCCCTCAAGGATTTCCTCGACTTTTGCTCCTCCCCTCGGCGGACGTCGATCTGACCTTGGGTAGACCCTGACAACCTGCTTCTTTTTTTTTTTTTTTAACCGTTTGCGACGGTGAAAGCATCGCCTGCCACCGAGTACTCGTGATCGGGTGCACGGGCAGCAGGACGAGACAACTGTAATGGCCAGTGGTCTGTAGAAGGGGTAATTATATGGCATGAGAGGACGAAGGAATACCAGGGAACGGCCGGGAATCGAACCCGATTTCAGTCAGGTGTGCTACCACTACACACCACCGAACCCAGGACATTCGATCACACCTCTCCATGCCATCCCTAGCACTATACAACCCCTAATTTTCTTTCCAGATTTCCCTCATTTTCACACAAATATCAAGGCGCTTTGAATTTTCAATTTGGTTCAATGGAATACCCCGCTCATTTTCGCCAGGCGAACAAAAAGTCATGAAAAAATATTTCATAGAAATTTCTAAATAAAACCGATCAACCAGACAAGCTCGTTGATCCCCCAAGACCCAATTCGAGACGCCCACGAGACTAGACATCCATGCATCTGGGAATAAAGAAGTTACAGAACCAGTCCCGTTTCATACTCATCACACTTAGTATTTTGATTTCTCGCAGCCTCTGAACAGTTACTCGCACGAGACCTGTCCTGGACTCGAAGGCCGTGGAATTCGAGTCATAGCCGTTTACCTCCCACTATCCTGTGAGGGAACCAATAAAACGCGATCCAGCGAGTTAAATGAGAACAGACGAGAAGTTCTTCACGCTGACTGCAATAACACTGATTCTTTAAATGCATTTGGCGAAGATTTTGGGAGGCGAAGAGAGAGGGAGATTTGGTTGGGGCTTCTCGTCCATGAGGGGTAGTCCTGTTTTAGACTCTAGGGATTAGGGTACGCGTTGTGTACTAATACGAACGGAAGGACCTCTCCGGGGGGGGGGGGGCGACCTCTCATCCGAAGAGACGATGTTCCAAGCAGCGCTTGACCCTTCCCATATCCGTGTACTTGTCATCTTCATCGCGATTGCGATCTTCATCGTCCGGATCGGAGACAAAGACGCAGAGGGTTGCTTGTGGATGCATGCCGCACAACTCTTGCTTTCCTCGGGAAAGGTCATCGTGACATCACATCGTCAGATGACAGTGACACACGCCCGGTGCCGTGAACTTCGTCGAGGAGCGGCCTCGATGTTATCGAGGCAGAAGCGATCTGCCGGAGGGGGAAAAGTGGAAGGAGTCCCGTTATCCCCCGGCCTATAGAGTCGGAAGCAGACGGACGACACTCAGTCGTTCGTGTGGATCCGGAGAAGGGTTGTTCCGTGACGAAGAAATGACACGAGCCCGCGCTCGACATGGCCTCAAGCCTCCCCGGTGACGAAAGACGGGGATTCCCGTCGCTTCTCGTCCTCTTCGCCATCCTCCTCGCGGCATGCATCGCCTGGGTGGACGGGGAGTGTCAATGCGGGGTCTTCATCCTGTGGGAGGAGAATCGAAGGGGGGAAGAAGTATTCGCGGGTGAAGCTTTTCCCACCGACGACTGCTCCAGGAACTCCACCTCCAAGACTCAATGCAGGGATTACTGCCTGGAACGGGTCTGTGACACGTCTACGTCGCTCTTTACGTTCGTAAAATACTTCGAGTTTGTAGGAAAGCCGCATCCGTGTGAGAGTGGAACGTAGGGGATTCCGAAGACTTATCCGTCGGAAAGCATCGAAAACGGTGAAAAGTCGGTCACGTTTCTCCGATGCGCCTTTCGACGCGAGCTTCAGGCATCACGTACGCCGAGGGAGGCACACTAAAAGAAAAAGAAGGGGGGCGCCTTGGAGGCATTTCCAGGCCTCCTTCTCCATCTGTCGATGGGCATAAACAATCCTCGGACTCGTCCACTCGGATTCCCCCCCCCCCCCCCATCCATGGAATCCATCGTAATCACCGTGTTTACGGACGGGATCGGATGGCTCGGGTAATGGATGAATGTACGAGTTGCATGCAATCGGGAAAGAGCGTGTTGTTGAAAGATGGGGATGCGGAGATGGGGGAGTCGGCGTGGCGGAACCAACCCCTTCGTCTGCCATGGCGGAACCGGCCATCCCGTCTGCCATATGACGCCTCCCTGGGGCCAACTCCACGCAGAATGGAAAAATATTCGCTGCGAGAGGAAGAAAAACTGGGGCATCATATGATGCCATCAGGATTTTACCATGGAGTAAGGAGCGAGACAATTCTCGTTTCATCCGATGAAACGGTAGTCGGACTCGTCTTCGATTGTGGATCGCCATCGTGAAATTCTCCTGGTGTATTGCGATGTCCCAGATATATTTTTTTTTGTATGCCACAAGGATATCGTACGGACGGATCCGAGCCTCGAAACGAAAAACGGTCGCCGGGGAATACGTGGTTCTATTCGTCGTGGATTCCGTGACTTTCGCCCGCTGCGGGGCAGAGCCATCCTTAAAATGAATAAAAGATCCGGGGTCCGTGCATCGGGACGAGAGGAAATTGAAAATCGTGGCTCTTTCATGCGAGGCCGAAGGAGTGGTTTCCCAGTGCCACTGCCCCTATTTCGGATTGGTAGCCGCTTCTAATCCCGCGTTCCTCTCGTTTTCATGCATTCGAGCGGCGTCCTATCTCGCATTCTTCCGACGTCTTTTCCCTCTTTTCGTCTTACACGAGTTTCCGGTTCATTGCATATACGCATTTCGCGTGCGAGTACGATTCGAATTTATCATTTTCGTTCTCAATTAGGGCATCCAAAGATTTCGTTAGGAGTCGGACGATGTCGGTGCTAGGAGTTTCTTTTTTTTTTTCCCCGGGGAAAATCAGATCTTCGCTCTTTCTCTCTCCGTGAAATGCCTCCGTTGGAACGGGTTTTCTTCTTTCGGCTCCTTTTCGGCTTCTCCCGTCGTTGTCAGACTACATTCGGTCAATGCAGCAGGATATCGAATTCTGCATCTTCTTGTAAGATCGTAGTTCACGATTAAACACCGGAAGAGCCCGGAAGAGAAGGAGATTTTTGGTGATCTCGGGATCGGGCCACATCGTCAGAGGTGGCCCGATCCCGATCTCGAGATGGCCCGATCCCGATCCCGAAGCCGAGAAAAAATCCGGGTGGCAAAGGGAAACAGCCTTTACGGCGAAAATGGTTCATTTTTCATAAAGTGACTACCGTACGACGATAGGAATCGTCGTGGAACCGTTTTCGATGGAAGATTCCTCGTGCGTTCGATAACCCCTTCTTCCTGGAACGAGAATTCCCATCCGCGATGCGATATTCACGTATTTGAGGAATCCAACTGCTCTTCGCCCTTCCCTTTTGGCGCGCCCCGACTCGAGGCAAAGAGATCGGAATCGGATGGGAATATCTTCCTCGTCCATCCGAATCCCGGGGGTATCGTGGCCTTCCGCGGTTACGCGATGCCTCGGTTCTGATCCGACGATCACCCTTCGGTCATCGTCGGATCGAATAGAAGCCTCGCCCGAAGAAAAGAATCCAATCGGGGAACGCCAGCGTCGCATGCGATAAAGTGGTAGATCGGTTTTCCATTTTTCCGAAACCGAAAAAGCGGAGGAAACGCGACGAAGACCCAAACGTCGCACGAGGATGCTGCAGCTGGAGTGAAAAACACGATCATCCGGGATTTACCCGTCGGTCGTGAATCCCATTCACGAACCCATAAGTGGATCGTATTTTTTAAATGTAGAAAGTCATATACCTGTCCTGAATGCTTGAACTTTTGCTCTCATGAAATTTATTCCTTGCAGCGTAAGTTTCCATAAAAAGATAGCACTTGCATGCGGACCTATGGGGAGAGAGGGGGACTGGATTAGTCCTGCCATCTAACGTCAACGTCGCGAACTACATGAAACCTTGCTTGCTGAAAATGAATGAATCGACGACAGAAGATTTAGCGATGAAAATACATCAGAGACAGGAGATAACCTCAAGTGGAAACTATCCATCTCATGGGATAAGAACTTACCTCATTTGTGAGGGTGAAGTGAACATTTCAAATTTTTATTAACAATAAAATCATAGAAGTTGCACATTTTTTCCCTAAATATTAAGAGTCGTCGGGCGCAGCGGACTGAAAGCATGATTCGACTGGGACCGAAGGCGCTAAAGAAAATGACCATTTCCAAAAGCGCCTTGCCGTTGAAAGAAACGAAATCTTCCTTCGAGGTTCTCCTTATCATCGGGTCTCTCCGCCTTTCCGCATTTCTTCGTTTCCAATCGAGAGGCCATTTCGTCATTTCCGCGGATGGCGTGATTCCGTCACATCGACGGATTCACATAGGGACGTATAAACCGGCTTCACTTCCTCTCTGGGACCCATCACAATCGCTTAAGGTCTTCTCGCACCAATTTTTAAGAAACTAGGAGATCTTCCGTTTGGGAGGGAACTTAGATTCTAGGTTCTCGACCTTCCTTGGTTTGCGGTTCGCATTAGGACACCGATTTTTCGTGGCACAGTTAGCTTCATTGATCTATTTGCTTTCTTTCGATGGGAAACTTGGCATTTAATTTTAATGGGTAACTGAAAGTTTAAAAGCGTGGCTGGAGTTCAGCGTTCCGTCTGTACGAACAAGAAACTGGCTTTAAGAAAGCGAACTCGGTGCAAACGCCCGGTCGCCTCCTCCTCATGAGCCTCCTGGAACTTCCTGCTCTCGTGGAAAGTCGCGACGGACCTCACAGCACAGCATGAGGGCGACGCAGCACTTCACGAGCTCTCGTCGGATCCGCGTTGAATCTCGGTGAACTCTTCTCGTGGAAGCCAAGAGGATCGTCTCGCCTTTCTTTCAGTCGCTGCGTGGCGGCTGGATGAGGCCACGGAAGGAATGGGGGTAGGAGGAGATGACAGTCTACCTCCTCACCCGAGGAAGAACGGAGGCCGTGCTCTCTATTTACCAACGTCAAAAAAGGCCTTGCCCTTTCTCATGGAAAGAGCCACATAAGAGAAATGAGAGGAAAGAGAAAATGCGTACCTCTTTGTATCTTAAAATTCAATTACCCTGTGTTTGCTACATTTTAATTCGACGTTATCCTCCAAATTATTAATTAGCGTGGTTCCTTCCTTTTATTTCCCCATTTCGTAAACTTTATTTTGGGTATCAACTGATTCTCCGGGACAAATATAAAGTTATCATCTGGGGGCGAGGGGGCCATATTTCGCCGCAATGGCAAAATATAAACCCCCTTTTCTCTGCCCTCGTTTGCCGTGGGAACCTCTGACTAGGAAAATACGTTATTCCCACCGTCATGCAACTGCCTTCCAATTGTCATTGAATTCTGAGATGGTCGAGCACAAACCGTTTCCATGCTAGGACTGGAAAGCGTAGCTAGGAAATGATCCACCTGTAAATTGTGTAACGGGACATTTTATGGATCAAGTAGGGGTACTTAAAAAAAAAAACACCTGAGACTCATTTCAAGACATCCAACGTCGACCGCTTAGATAGCTTATCATTTTTGTTCGCTTATACGAAGCTGCTTTTCTCGCAGGAAAACGACATGGCTTTTTTTTTAGTCCCCTTGTATATCGATATTTTTTTTTATCCATCATGCATAACATCGCATAATACTGTATAATAATATAGTCACATGATGGTCAGTGACAATTGAGAAATGCTGTATAACTACGTAGTTGGGGATGACACTACTCGCTCCTCAGAGCTCTCCCGAAATAAGGGAATTGAATTGATGCAGTAGTGCAAAGAAACCGGTACCGATATCGCATATTCCAATTTGTCGAATCTAGCAGATGGCTTCAATTGGAGGGGAGGGGGGAGGGGGAGAGGGGGAGAGGGGGAGAGGGGGAGAGGAGTGGGGGAGTGGGGGAGAGGGGGAGAGGGGGAGTGGAGGGGAGTTCCTACACGTACGAGTTTTCCATAGGATGTGATAGGATGGCTTCAAACTGTTTCACCTCTGTCGGTTCGACACGTGTGGAATGGGTGTTGAGGGTTGGAATTCTATAAAGGCCACTATTTCCAGCGATGTGCTCGAAGGTCAGAGGTTCTTTGCATCGACTGCAATGTGGATTTCGTCAACGGAGGATATCTGCATCGTGGTTTTTGCGTCACGCCGTCTCGGGCCAAAACGGTTCAACGTGGGTGACAATGAATCGGCACGGATGCATGTTGGAGTGGTGGGTGTGTGCCTGTTTTTCCTTTTTTTTTTTTTTTTTTAAAGGTGTCGTCCCCATCGCAGTATCGAATTTCGTTTGCGCGTCATCGCCCTGCGCCGTAACGGTTCGAGAAACTGAAAAACGGATTCGAATGCATGCATGGGCGCCTTCGAGCCTGCTTTTTCAACCGTGGCCAAAACGTATCTTAAGGTGGCCCGCGTCTTGCGTCCCACTTCAAAAATGGTTCAGAATGGAAATATAAAGAGAGAATTTCTTCGCCGCCTGGTCCTTGCTCTCTTTTCGGTGTCACAAACCTTACTATTAATACCATCGTTTTCGTTCTTGCTCGGGCCCTGACTTGAAAGGGTTCTTAAAATTCTTCGCGCCAAGAATTTTGAAGGTAAGAGCAAATTTGTCGAAAATTCTCTGCACAGATCACAAAATTCTCTCTCTTGTCATAGAGTTTAAAAAAAAAATCGGGGGAACTACTGGAAGAGAGAACGCGGTAATTAAGTCGTGAACACGTGATGTCTTACATAAATAGCCTAAAGCATTTTCTGAAGGAATCAATTCGAAAGCAGCTTCCGGAAACCCTTGCACGGGTGAGATTTTTTTCTCGGCCTCTCACGTGAGCATTTCCTTGCAGTCCCGGACGGTGGCGAGGGGAGGAAACATGAGGATCATCGGGCCTTTCCTCAGTCTGGCCACCAAGCTCTACACCTGCAAGATGATCGAGAGCCATCACCACGACCAGCACGGGGACCATTTTCACTTGGAACAGCCGCAGGTCTCTTACGTCTGGACGGGGGGGTTCTATCGGTGGTGCGGACGGGATTGGCGATACGTGGGAACCGAGTCCACCCAGCAGATATGCTGCACGAGACAGTTCTTCGCCAGGTGAGACCATCGTATCAATCGGTATTTGTATTATTACCGACCACATTGTCAGCCGTTATTAGTAATAATTGAGTATTATTAACTACTGTCGATAACAATCGATCGCGTTAATCATTTTGCTAAATACAATACGTACAATATAATCATGTAAGAAATTCAGATTAAGCATAACGATACAATTTACAATATTATGACTGCGACGCGCTTGCATCGCTCCCTTAAGAGAAGTGTGATTGTTCCTTGTGCGATACGCAGTTGTCCGGCGAACATGATCGCACCGGCGCCGCCCCCGTTCCAAGATGTCGACCCGGAGGATGAAGAGAAAAAACAGGCCAGGATCGGGGAAGAATCAGGAATTCACCGCCATTCCTCAGGTACTCCTCCCTCGTTCGATCTTCTCGAGGGATTTTCGGCCCGAAAGGAATTGCTGCGAGAAAGGGACGCTCGTCCCACGGCAGTGTTCCGGATTTCGACGGCCGTGGATCGACTAAAGTTTTCCACAGTTCGCAAATTTACTTTTCCCTCCTCAAAGACATAGACAGGAGGAAGGCTGGACGTTTACTCCCCCCCCCCCTCCCTTCTCCCCAAATGTGGAGCAAACCCTTCGTCGAGAACCCCCCTCCCCCTTTGATCTTTCTGTCTCAGGCGTTTCCCCCCCCCCCCCCAATTGAATATCCTAGACGCGTCACTATGCTTCACCTCCGTGTAGCAACATGTAATTAATTTAGAGTTATTATCTTAATGGAAACTCGGTAACAGTGATTATTTGCAATTTGCCTGTCATGAAGGATGTCATAAGATGTTAGATTACTGCCATCCCAGGGACTATAATCCTCTTGCGGGTAATGAAAAAACCTTTTAGACCCATAAACTTCTGTCAAGTACCAGCTGTATCTGATAGTCCCTTTAAATGCTACGACCAAAGAAAGTTGAACGGTCCCTTTATGGCTATCTTGTGTAATGGAGGATGGAGAAGTGGATTTGAGAGGTGGATGTCTTTACCCCAGAGAGAGAATCGGGACAGACCGACGCGGGAATGGCGGAATACGTGGACTTCGGCCTGGGATTCTTGAATCAGATCCTGAGAACCTCCGGTATGCCAACCGTGGATTCCTTCCTGGGCTTCTTCGGGGTGGGACCGAGGGACTTCATGAAGACCGTCGGTTCCATGGAAAAGTTATTCAAACGAGCCAAACACGAGTTCGAATTGGGGTCGTGTTACATGGAGTTCTTCGCCTTCGACATCTTCCGGAATCGCCACGAGTACGGATTCACCTTGGGCAGGAAGAGACGGAAGAGAAGGGACGCAGACGACCATTCTAACGGCCAGCACGAGAATAATGATGGCAATGGTGATTTGTTTGGACGGAAACAAGCTGAGGACATATTTCACGTCGTCGCTGAAGCCTTCCGTGGGGGAAAAGGAGAAGATATGAGGAAAAGCGGAAGGAAGGAACAAATGAATCCAGATCCGGGCCTCTTCGACGTCATCGCCGAAACTTTCAGCGACGTGGATAAGATCCGCGACATCTACGACAGCGTCCAAAGTCTGGGTCTGAATCCCTTCCAGCTGGCCTGGGACATGTTCCGGCCGTTGACGGGGGACACGTCCACGACGTCGGGTGTGGTTGGGGACCTGCTTCAGGTCCTCTTCAAGACCTACGTCAAGTCCCAACTTTCGAGCTTGATGGAGCTGAAACCGACGACTGCGGTCTTCCGACCGGCGACAGTGGTCCAGAACGGGACGGAAGGACCATCCAACGTCCTCTTCGTGAAGGCGATGGAAGCGCTGAAGACTCTCCTCTTCTCTCTCTTCGGCGTCGTGCCCGAGGGCAGACAGCGGATTCAGTGGGACCTGAACAGCGACAAGATCCTGCGAGGTCGGTTGGGGGAGGTGCGACGGGGGCAGAGGCAGGGGCAGAAGAGGCAAGGAGGCGTCGTCGAGGGGGTCGGGGATTTCGTCCGGACCATCATGAACGTCGACGATCCCACCCACGGTTTCTATTGCCTCAAGAGCTATTTCGTCGATAAACTCTATAATTACATGGGGAAAGGACTCCAGCTCCTCCTCTTTTGACTGCTTCGTGCAATACCCCATTGATACCATCCGATGATCTCAGGGAAAGTGTGCTAGCCACGAATCATCACGTCCGTCCCCTCCCCGCAGTTATTTAATGCTAAGTTATGTCGCGTATGTTAAGTCGTGATGACGTCGTTATGAGTGGAGAAACGAACCGGTTATGCTGAGTTTTTCTTGCAAGAAGCCTCGGATGTGTTTCTCCATAGGTGCTAATCGTCTCATTTCGTTCGTAGACCACGTGTTTGAAACTTCGATGGGGAATGAAGGTGTCTGTCCTCGTGCCAGTGGACTTCCCTGTTCGGTTCCACTCATCTTGGAAGCGCATAAGCGTAGCGTGGAGGGGGGGGGGGGGGGGGGGGGGGGGGGGGGTGGGGTGGGGGGGGGGGGGGGGGGGGGGGTGGTGGGGGGGGGGGGGGGGGGGGGGAGACACGGGAACTCTGGGACTTCGTTTTCATGCATTTCATGCATCTTTTCCTTCTTCTTTTCGCTTTTTATTTTTAAAGGGGTGGGCACACGCGACCCCTCTGTTCTCCACCGATGTCACGGAGGAAAAGATTTGCGTGATTCCGCCGTAAGTAGAGACGTGTGAGTGACACGGAACTGGCACTGGAAAGCGTCGAAGAATGCGGAAACTCGGAAGCATTTTTCGATTTCACGCATGGACTCTCCATGGATTTGAAAGCAGAGGAGAGAAAAGCGTCTCTACGAGAGGCATGCGACGAAGGGATTCGACGCCACCCAGTTCCACGTCCATGCATCTCCTGGAAACTTCGAATATCACCAAAGTGCACCGTGTTTTCCGTCCCTTCTCATAGACTCGTCTACCGCTCGCTTCACTCTCCGCTCGCGGGGGAATCGCTCGAGGTCGAGGGCAGGGAACGTTTCCGCATAGACTGCGCAATGTATACAGACGAATGCATTTCCTGGTTCAATCTCCCGCCACTCGAAACGGAACCCTCGAGAAAGAGCGGGAACGATGGAAATACAAGTGTGACTTAGACCTTTCAATCTCTGCAATACAGGGGGAGTAATAAAAAAAAAAGACACTACGAGGCCAAGCTTGAGACAGAGAAGAAAATGCTCGACGAGTCCATGCACTAAATATTACTATCAGAATCGACTACATCATCGATGGACGAGGTTTTGCCGTTGGATGCCTCGCGGGATATTTCATTGCAGCCGTTAGAATTTCATCGTTCCGTTGGGCACCACATCCCGGATTCGGATGCAGTTATACGTCCTTCTTCGAAATGACAGATGGAAGAAGAGATGGGAGAAGATGATGATCAGATGAAAGAAGCAGAAATCGGATTCGTACAGGTACACAGATGATCGACGGATTACTAGGAATAGCTACGAGGCCACTGAAGCGGGGAGTTAGGTCGGCGAAACGGGAGGCAGGAGGGAGCGATACATCATCACGAGTAGGACAGGAAAGCTAAAGGCAGGCCTTTAGCTTTCAGGCTGTAAAGAACTCAATTGCCTGTAGTAGTTGATCGACCGACATTGAAATGTTACGAACAGATACTCAAGTACCTTCATGCCTGCGATAAAACTTTTCAACTTGTAGTTAATTAGCTGTTAATTTTGACAAGCTTCATAAATTGTGACCCGTCATTGATGAGACTCAGAAATCATTCAAGGCGAACTCTGATAGAGGAGCATCTTTCAATTGAAGGAATCATGCCTTAATTAATTGGTTCCTTGAACTCAGGAGTGTCAAACTCAAATCGGTCGGCGGGCCGCATTCCTTACTCTGAAGATGCCTGCGGGGCCGCACCCATAATTTTCCCCAGAAATTTGTGCTAACAGTTAATCCAAACAGAAATTTCAAGAAATTTCAACATACGGCGGGCCGTATGAACCATCTCCGCGGGCCGTATGTTTGACACCCCTGCTTTAACTCATTGAAGCATTGCATGACCTAGAAACTGACGAAATGGGGATACAGTGTCAGTAATAAATTGGATATTTGGTTCTGTCAATCTCCTCTCTGCCTACAAGGAAAAGGCTGTGGATGACAAGGAATTGGAAGTTGCAGTGTGAGGTATGGTTTTTTTTCAACTCTGCTCAAGAATTGAAGTTGCCGAGAGGATTTTGTTTTACAATTTTACAATTCACAATCTTCTGGAGTTTCACATTTTCTAAAGATATGATAAAAAGATAGATAGAAAGAACTGTAAGGGGGGGGGGGGGGGAGGGGGGATAGACCAACCTTGAAGGCGGACTTGATTATCGAAAAGCGAAGGAAACTGAATTCGCACGATCAGGTAATTTAATGTGTTACAGGCATGAAATTGTAGGACACCATAGCGATCGGCTTCCGAACTGCGAAAGGATTCTGCAAATGAATTCGCTGGGACGAATCTCAGAAAGAGGGTCTCAGCAGGGGTTCAACAGTCTGGGTATGAAGTCAGCGTATGGGAGAAGGGGTGTTGATACCATGAACTTGTTGACCAACGTCGATCGTTGATGGCCACAAGCCCACCAAGTGGCACCACGAACTTTCTGGTGTTTCAGAGGCGTTGCTTTCACCAAGGCATGGATTCTGTACGGATCCAGGAGAAAGCAGAGTCACAGTTCCAAATCTGCTGGGATTCAGATGAATCATTGTATGACCCCTCCAGATGTCTTTTCAGGATGATCCAGTGCGAACGGGGCAAGCATTTCCAGGACTCAACGTTTAGCCAGAGCAACAACTAGGTTGAAACTCTGACTCCCTCCTCCGCTTCCGAAAAGAATAAATAATTTATATTCAGAAAATGTTGTCTGTGCTTGACACTCTCTATTTGAAGACATACCTGAATTTTGTAAACAAGTCATGAAATCTGGAAAAATTGAAGTGCCAACTGTGACTTAAAAAGTATGGAAATGTTTAATTCAATTTTCTAAAGCGCTATTCCTTAATATGCTATGGAAAGGGTTAAGTAAACCTCAGGCGAAAGTCGAGTTGCGGAATGACTTCTTTACTTCTATGGTAGTTAATGCAAGTGATGTGTTATGTGACAATGTTGTGGCTGCCCCCTATCGTTACTAGTTTTTAAGAAGAGGCTTCATGCCTTCATGGACAAAACAAAAAAAGGGGGTAAAGCCACTAGGCCGGTTCTTTAAGAGGGATTAGCTCTCATAACACATGAGAGTTCGACCTTGACACGAGTCGCCATAATGAACGAAAGCGCTTGACATCTCTATCCGAGCTTTGAACCTCGATTGAAGCCATGTGGGCTCCATTCAAGGTCACGTCGTCTGCAAGCAGGAAAATTCCTGCATCTTCTCCTTAGCCCAGGCCGCACAGTCGTGTTGCACTCTCGTGGAACGTACATCATGCATGTGTGATAAGTGCTTGATTGCATGGAACACATCAAGCGATTGGGCGCTGCACATTGGTGAATCATGCTTCGAATAGTTCAACTCTTCGAAGGCGCGACCATTGCGAGTTTGTTTCGGGCAAACAAACACTCGATAGTCGCGCCTTCGGCGTTCGACGGTCATAGAAAATGATTAATCCATTTGAAATATCCGTTTTCGAGGCTCACAGATACAAATTCGATAAAACTCTATGCGTAATTGGTATTTTTTTATTGTGACGTAATGTTACTTCTGATTGTGTGACGTCGTTGACAGTCTCATTTTAGCAACATTAAGCAAATGGAAATTATTAGTTTCTCCCCCCCCAAAAAAAATCCCATCGGAATTTTTCCTTCGTTCAGTGCTTTTCATAACACAACAGTAAGAATCGTTTTCCTTAAGCACAAATGGTATTGGTTACCCCCCCCCCCCCCCCCCCCCCCCACACCAAAAAAGGGGCTCGAGGGTGCCGTACCCTAATCGTAGGATTTTCCCTGAAATTTTCGTTTATCGTTGGGCCATAGTTTGAGAAGTTGACTCATCTTTGGCGAGTGATTGGCCGGCCGACTCACACTTGTGAGTTGGCAGGTCAATCACTCGCGTTGGAGGAGGTTCCGAAAACCGGCGTGAGATGGAGCCAGAGTAGTCGCAGTGGGGAGTCACTTCCCGGATTCTACAGAAATGAGTCCCCTGTCCCTTTGACACAGTTCCCTATGGTTTCTCACATAGATCTCATAGGAAGGCAATTGAATTCCTTGAAACATTTCTTCACCTAGCCCTGGAATAAACATGAAAATTCCGGATCGGAGGTCCGTGGGAGGATCCTTCTACTTTCCAATATCAGCTACGCGACCTTTTCTCACTCTATTTTAAGGCGTCGATAGTCTTATTACTTATTACTTATCAAAGGGCATGCCTGGTCTCCTGAGAGAGGGCGTATACCCATGCATTTCTACGTGATTTTATTCTGCTTCGGATATTCTTAGCTCTTTGCGATAGGAGTGTACCTGTGTAATGTACTCTGGTAAGATGATGCTCACTTCATCTCTCCCAGATGAAGGAGCAGTAGGGGGCCAAATGATGCATTCTTATCTCTCTAAGACGCATAATGCTCTAGATACAGTTCAAGTGAGTTATTTTCCTATATCTTTTCACCATTGTGAAAAGTCAGCTTATGGTTGAGGCATGTGCCTCAACATGTACCTTTGTGCCCGACAATGAGCCAAAGTTGGCCCGATGAAGGGCCAACAGGACATACCCGACCATAAACCGGCTTAAACCAACTGTTAGCCAACCATGTCAGTGATGGCCCAACTAAGGCCCATGTACGCGTCGACGAAAAACCATCGATGGCCTGGTAAAAATTTTTTGACTGGGTCTTATACTTATATTCTTCCTGAAGATTTCGCCGTTACTTGTGAGTCGCCATCGAGTGAAGGTACTGCTTCTTCTCATCGCAATTTTCCTGCAGACTCACTTCTGTCTCACCCGTGAGGTAGGACGGAAGACGAATATGAGAGGAATGTACCGTGTAAGGGTCATAGTCTGATCCCAGGATTTCCCCCTTTCCTCGGGTCACTTCTCATGAAAGTCTATTGAAGAAGATTCTGGATGCAGGATATGTCCGATGAATGAAGTGGCCTCCCGATGTAAGATGTCGTATGTCCGATGCCCTCTCATGGATATACGATGAGGGGGGGGGGTACTTTTCCTCATCCATTCCGTTTTGTTTTCTCTCTTTGACATTCCTCTCACCTGCTTTTTGGTAGGCTCACGAAAAGGCACATGAATCGATCATCGTGTCTCCTATGAGAAATTTCGCTCTTTCAGCTCGTCGCATTCGCTGGCGCTCGGCGCTCTTTCCCATCTATCCGTAGGGAACTCGGTGGGTGTGAACTACGAGGAATTCGCGGACTCTCTTTTTCTTCCATCATCGTCTGCGCCTAGACTCCTAGAGGCAATTCCACTTGATTCACCTTATAGGAGAACGTTTGCAGCATTCTATGAAATTCATATCTGTATGAGTCTTGGAGATACCGGCTAGCAATAACATTTTGAAATGCCGATGCTGTTACCGTTAAGTAGTAACTAAACGACTCTGGAAGCTGAGCACAAAAGGTAGGACATGAGCACTGCGGAGACCCCATGTCCCGAAAATATCGGTTGTCTGCTTTTAATTAGCAAACGCGACTTCCAAGATTGAGAATATAGCTAAAATGCTAAATGTCTTCAGGTACAAGGAAACCTATGAAATACGCTCACATGGAGGACTTTCGTTCGTTTGACGCGCACGCATTTTGCGTGAGCATACTCGCTCCTGGAAAGACGCTTAGAGCTTCGTGGTTACTTCAACTGACTCGTTCATCCCCTTCTCTGCCATAAACCACTTAGCTTCTCCGTAGCATTCGGTGACCTTTCAGCGCGGGAGCAAGAGACAGGGAAGTACTAGCAACAGGTCTACACTCTTGATGATCGTTCTCTCGCTATCGAAACTCCGGAGATGTGACCTTGACAACCAAGCGACGGATCAATTCGGGGATCGGGGAGGGTGAAGGAAAAGAGGCGAAATGGAAGAAAAGAGGGAAGCTGCAAGGCAGGGAAATAGAAAGAGGAAGGTAATGGACCTGCAATCTTCTTTTCTTCCTGTGTTCTGGCCGGATTGAAGAGTGGCCAACACAGAGGGTCTAAAAATCCTTGGCAGCTGGCCGCGTTAGACAAGTGGCCGGATAAAACAGGTTATCTCGAGTTCTCGACTGATTTCATCCAATTCTTTACCTTTTCACCTTTGAGGTTTATCCCCAGGGCACTTTTTTTTCTTCTTTTTTTTTTTTTTTTAGCCGGAACCTATTTACAGAAATATTTCGCTTTAACAAAATAGGCACATACGGAATGCTAAAATTTTGAACTCAATTTCTTCTCAGAATACTAATTTCAAGAGAAACTCTACTCTAGAAGTACACCCCTTCAGGTAAGTTTTCGCTGCAGACATGTTTCTAACAAACTTTTCGCTCTACCAAACGGAGCGACAGAAGGATGAAACTTGCTTCATAAGTATCGTTTGAGATATAGATTTAAGGAAAAATAATACTTTTCAGGATACATTCACTGGGGATTATTTTGGGGTTACTTTCTCCCATAAATATTTTTCCCAGTGAAACAGGTAGATATATAGAAATATAAAAATCTGTAAACACGTAGTTCTAGGAAAGCGTATTTCGAGGGAAAGTTTAATTTTTAGGTACATCCACTCGGGAGGCAAATTCTTTCGTGGGGACTTTTCAAGGAATATTATCGCTACAGCGAATAGTTGCTTGTCCGAGGTTTTTTCACTGCAGCGAAACGGGCAAATACAGATATGTGAACTTGAGTAAATGTAGTTTTCGGAAAATTGATTTCAGGGAAAATCCTACAATTAGGATACAGCACCCTCGAGCCCCTTTTTGGTGCTTGGGCAACATTTATCATTTTTGCTTCAGGAAAACGATTCTTATCGTTGTTATGAAAGGTACTGGATGAAGGAAAAATTCCGTTGCATCCTTGGAGCCAGTGGCGTAGCGAGGGGGGGGCTGGGGGGGTTCAGCCCCCCCCAAGTTTGGTTCAAGCCCTCCCAACTCTGGTCGAAATGCGTCTGCCCCACCCCGACGAGGCGAAGTTAGCCCCCCCCCCAACGTTCCGCTTAGCCCCCCCATTGACGAAAACCTGGCTACGCCACTGCTTGGAGCGGAAATGAAAAAAGTCCATTTCTTCGAAGTCGCTAACATCAGGCTGGGGATGATTTCACATAACTAGAAATAACACGACGCCACAAGAAAATACAAATAATTCGAAGAATTTTATTACATTTGCTGGTGGGATGGCCAAAAACGGAGGTCTCAAATTAATTTATCACCTTCTTAGAGTGCCAAGCGCTGATGACGCGACCATTGAGAGTTTGATTGCCCGAAGGGCAATCAAATTTACAACTAACTCGCTAGGTTTAGAAACAGCTAATTCTGTTGTTTTCCTTAACAGTAGTGTAGCCCTTGTTGGCCTTTTTTGGAAATATACGATGAGGTCTTCTTGCTTCTTGCTTGAGAAGTACCCGATTCACTGACACCTGCAAGAGCTTGTATTGCTCGTAAAAGTAATTGGACTTGCTCATTCATCCACGACTTCCACGCATGGTCACTGTCACTTGGATTGGGAGTGGAGCTCCTACAGCAGGGGAAGTAACACTGTTCGTCATGTACGCTCCCTTCCTTGCCTCGTGTGCATAGGATATACACACGTCTCTCTCCTGGTCTTTGGCTTGCTCCCTTCTTTTCAATACAGTGGTAGCTTACCACATTCCTCTTTACGGAGGCCAAAATGGTCTTCATAGAATAATTTGCATTTGAATGATGATCACCACTTTTATTATTACTGCATTTGAATGATGAAGGTTACCACTTTTATTATTACAAGAGTTAGTACTTTAGTATGCGAAAGGATTATTATTTGGTTGTTGTACCTCTTGTGAACGATTCCATTTGAATCGATTGACCTATCCGTAGTTTTACATTTGATTTTGGATTTCAGATGTAAGCTTACACAGACAATTCGAATGAGAGCAATATGTATGCAAAAATTAAAATTGCCCTTCAGAATTCACTTAGCCCAAAGTTATGCTATTTGTGGGCCTAGAGCTAAATTGAATACCTTATGCCTAACGTTAGATTTCGATAGTATGAATCCTTTCTTGTTTGATTTGCTCTGATGCATGTGACCATTCTAACCCACAGATGATTGAAATTCAATTAAGATGCCATGAGACCAGAAGAAAATAAACAGCTCAAGTCTATTCTCCTCCCCAGTGCATCGCCATGAATGAAGAAAGATATGCCAGGAGCATTGAATTACCTGGCTGTCCTGTTTTTCGTAACCTCAAAAATGCTAAGAGGTTTGCAATTGATATCGGTATGTTAACCTTCAAGAAGTCTCAAGTGGGAAAATTTAATGACAATTTTTCATGATCTTTGCATCCATTAGCCATTTTTCTCATTTGAAGACAGCTCAATATTTTCTCATTTGAGAGATCATCTAAGCTTGTCAGGTTGTCTGCTTTTACTAAATGGAAAGAAAAGATATCCCAAGGCAATATACCAATTATAACCTCATGGTTGAATAGTAGCCATTAGTTTTTTTAATTATTATTTCAAAACTGTGTAACTATTCCAACTGTAAAACTCATTTTACTTTTCAACTCGATATTAGGTTCTATAGGCATAGCTTCTTATTAAGACAAGCATAAATTAAGTAATAAAAAGCAATTGATGCCTGTTGTAGGTCGTGCTATTCTTAGGCCTAGTGCAAAACCACATCAGGGAAGATGATGAAAATGCAGCCACCCCAGTGTTTTAACATTTTCTGAGTCTATGTAATACTCCCAGCATAAAGTTTCATTTGCATGATATTTAGGTTTATGGTCAATAGTATGCTAAGTGGGGAAGGACAAATTTGAAAAGTTTTGGATTTCTAGCCAAAACAGATTCTTATAAATGTGAATTTTGCCATTTTATGTCCCATATATTTGATGTTTTGAGTCAATATGGGTGTGGGTGTTCTGTTTTGTATAAATAAACCATGTAATACAATAAAAACCATACAAATAATTAATTACCTGAACCATAAAAACAGTAACAGCCTAATATTTAAAGAACATGAGAATAAAAAACTAACCTAGATGATGCCATTTACTGTGTGTATCCTTGAATAAAATGAGCTTATAAGGTGAGTAATGATAATCAATTAACATGTAACTCAGAATACAATCAGATGCTCAGTTAATAGCGAAGTTAACTTAATTCCTGCAGTAACTCACAATAAACAGAATTCACTTATTGCAATATCACTTAGATTCTATAATAGCTTGCCTTAGGAATAAATTGCATTGCTCAAGAAAGAAAAGAATTCAAAATATAATTTGAAAATACCTAACGTCAATTACTAAGAATACTCAGAAAGTGTGTTCCCACATAGGTAACTCAGAATAAGCTTCAGATTCTTTTCCCATGCACAAAAAACTATATATCATTCTATGAGAAGGAATATATTATGTCTGTGATAGATGTGGTCCATCAGTATAATAAAGTAGCATATATTGGGAAAAATATCTGATCGTCTTCTTATGGAAAAATGAGTGTGTGAGGGCACATATGGCAGGGCCTTATAATGAAATTGATGAAAGGCATGGATGTCAAAGATATGGAGCAGTAGATATGATATTTATATGATTTTTGCCATGTCTACTTTGTATTGATATATTGTGGGGCATGATAGGCAACATGACCAAATCAGGTATGAAATTACTATGATATTATGTCATCCTCATGAATCTTATTCAAATTTCAAAAATGACTTCAGGAAGTATGCTGATAATTGTGCTTCACCTATCACTTTAATGACTTCAAAGATGCAAAAAAAGCTTTCATTTTGTACTGAAAATGAAACATGGTAGAACAAGTGAACAAAGCTGTCCATTTTAGTTCTAAATTGTCCAAAAATGGTATAACTGACAAATAGAGGTTTGGATTCATCCAGTTATGCAAGGTGCACTTTAGTATGGGGTGAAAATGAACAAATGAAAGTAATCACTGCAGCTTCTCCATGCAGATGCAAATTAAGTATTCATTTAGGGATCATTGACTTGTTCATATTGCATGCTCTACCTCTTCTTTTTCCCTAATTGCTCTGCCATCTTTTAAATGAGAGCTGAGACATTCTCAGACACCTTGGCCTCTATAAATTTTTCTGGTTCTGTTGCTGGAATGGAATATGAACTTCATGGGTTAGTGAGAAATACCTACTAAGGACAAAAATATACACATCTGTAAGGTAATTTTGCTCATATACTTGCATAAAAATCATATACTTCAATCAGTTATGTCATCATATACATTTAGAACCCATCCCTCAAATCTGGTGATACTTGTACATACTGTAGAACATATATGTTTCTTATGAGGTTTTGCTAATAAAGAAACTTGAGAGAATGTCAGAAAACTCCATTCTTTTTAATATCCAAACTTGTTTTACTCAAAAATGTTTAAAGTGTTTTTTTGTTTTCCTTTTGTTTCCCAAATTCTCATGTTCATTTCATGAAAAGTCATGAAGGGTAATCATAAGAATGGTATTAATGTCAACACAAACCACTTAAGCTTGAAGTTAGTATGAAATGCCATCATGCTGTTCCTATCAAAGATCAGGATGAAATCTATAATTTTACAGGCAATAGTAAATGCCTTGTCTTTTTTTTTTTTTTTTTACAAAGATGGAAAATGTTTTAATGGAAAGCTTGCTTTTGTATTTATTTCTTACATGCTAATAATGTATGTAAATGCTGTCATCATGGATATGAATATTGCAAAGGTGGATGTTATGATTCAGGCAAACTGAAATGTGTCTTTAGATGCTAAAGATTACCCAGGCAACATGTCTGGGTAATTTTTGTGGCAATTATAATTGAGTAATTTATTTCTATATCATAATTATTAATTTATGCAATTATTATTCTAATTTGCAAAATGGTTTAAAATTACCAAAAGTATGAACACAAGTAATCTGAAATGAGCAAGAAGACATTAAGATGAATGCTCCCCATTTTCACCCTTTCAGTATGGCCTTTTGTTTGGTCTGTGCCTTTTGGCCAGGATTTTTCAGGGCTGTGCATGTTCCTTGCTATGTTTAGGCTTGAAACATGCAGTATCTACAAGTAAGTGAAGTTAAAAGTTGCATGTACCTTATTAGTGCTTTAGGGTTTGGTAATCACAGAAACACGAATTGATGCAGAGAGAAGGGACTTCCCATACCAGGCCATGCCGGTAAGACCATAATACCAAAAGAGTTAACAAAATATTCTCATGAATTTGATCTGTTGACACTATGAGGATGTGAATCATCATTTGAGTCAAAGAAATTTGCAAGAGTTTTGAACCTGGGGTATACACTCACCCCTCCCTACTCTGCCTCTAGCCTGAAGATGAATTGCATTCATGCCTTCCCTGTATCTGGCTTTTAATGATTTCAATCTTAATAAGGTAGGATTTCTGGAATAGGCAATCTGGTATGACTGTCTCATCTTTTTCTCATGAAGGTGGATCATTGACCAAGATAGCATACTATTCCACAATCAGTCACCGGAAGATATCCTACGGGAAGAGGGGAGGAGTGGGAGATACAACCTTAAGCCACAGTGATGATGCTATGTCTGTGAGTGACTCATTGATTGTTTTCATGCAATTTCCTAGAGGTTTGATGCTAATGCTCAATGAAATTGTGTTGGTAGAGTGATGAAGAAACTCAGTGGGAAGTCTATGAAGGAGGAAGACTCCATTTTGTCAAGTTTGAGACAAAATATATTGAGATGTGCCTGGATTTCATTCAACGCCACCTGGTGGGGAGTCGAGAGACTATGACAGGGAAGAAGATCAAGGTCACTGGTGGAGGTTCCTTCAAATACTCCCAAGTTATCCATGAGAAACTTGGACTTTTGTATGTTCATTTATTCACATCTGATTTTACTAGCTCAACATCTGATTGTTATGCAGTTGACAGGGTAGGGCATGATATGCATTTTGATTCTTCCTCAGAATGAAGGAAACTCTTATGCAGAGGAAGTGATGTTTGAATGTAGAGTTAATTATATTTTTATATCCTAACCAGGATCTATGGCATGACAGTGACTATTCATAGATTTAAAGTTCACATTTTCCAATAGAGGCTAAATTTAGGTTGATAGAACTCTAAGGCTATGACTGATTCCTGATGGGATAGCAAAGGAGGCATTCAAATAAAAATAAAAAAACTTAATTTAAGACATGATGCCCAGTGGTGGCTTGTGATATTTAGCGCTAGTGGTTCATATATGGAGAGGGGGTAGGCAGCGCCCTCCCCTGCCTACCCCCTCTCCATAGACGAGCCACTAGCGCTAAATATCGCGAGCCGCCACTGCTAATACCATTGTCATTCTACTTGTTGCTTCACCTCTCAATAACCTGGGCACTTGGAGCCTACCTACAGGAAATATTTGCATTATATAATGAATAAAAATATTGAAGCAAAATGGATTGCAACAGTTCAATTGCAGTTAGAGATTAGATGAGCAATAGCCAAATTTAATGAGAATGAGGAAGCTTCTTCTGGGCACACAAGTTATGAAAACTTTGCTTAATGAAATTGGCGATTATGTAATGATTAGGAAATTTTACTATAAAGGAAATGGGAAATGAGTAAAGCTCTTTCATCATCCAGATGCATCAATTTTTATTCTTCATTTTAGATGGTGCAGAAAACTCAGTTTAGCACTGGAAATGGGGAAAATTTTCATAACCTTGTTTGGGAGTTTTCAGTGTTTCATTCAATAAAGAAAATGAATTATCATTTTAATATTTTGAATGCGATCAATTGGTCTTTTAGGGCTCTAAGAAGCTTCAGGCTTCTGCTTGCTCTTAGTCTTTTCTAACATGATTAGAGCATTCAGGTTACGGATAATTTTATTATTCCTGTTTGTCACACAGGACCTAAATCCACAGAATATACATGGACCTATTGGCAATCATTTCAGTTATAGGTACCCCATATGGGGTTCACACTTAACTGTGATTTTAACAAACCACTTCATTTTGTTGCATGTATGAAGCAGAGTTGAATTAATCTGTTTGGAAGTTTGCAATATTCATGCTTCTTTTATGGTTTTGTCATTTTTGAAATATTTTCAAAACTAAATAACCCAAGATGTCTTCTTAATCTCATCACTTCAATTAATCCATACTTAATCCATAAACTGTCAATATCATGCATTTGGTGAAGTGTGTAGCTATGTTATTCCAGGAAATGTGGACTAATCTTTAAAAAAAGAAGGGTGGGGGGCCATCAGCACTATGATAAGGCATCTTGTTTCATGCAGGATGCTGGTACCCAAGGTTTATACTACCAGAATAAGGTTTGAAATTTGAAAATCAAAACATGGGATGTAATGCCTGGAGCAAGATTCAAATGCTATGTGATTAGCAAACAAGGCTGAGGTTAATGGGAATGAGGGAGACTTATTTCTTGACTCTCATGAAATGTAAAGAAGCAAGGATTGAAGGGTCAATGGCTCCTCTATAATTCTTTCAGGGTGGAGAAGGAAGATGAGATGGAGAGCCTGATTCGAGGCTGTAACTTCCTATTGAAGAACATTCCTGATGAGGTGTTCACATATCATCGGCATGCAAATCCTGAGTATTGCTTCCAGTTGTCCAGTCCTGATGTCTTCCCTTATCTTCTTGTGAACATTGGATCAGGTGTCTCCATCATGAAGGTCAATGCATACTCTTTCTCATCCTTCCCCAATTCACTTCATCCTGATCTCAGCTCATTTTTGCTAACAATCCATGTATTTGAAAGCCCTATTTAACCATGAGATCTATTGCACTATAGTCTGTTTTTGGTCAAGTATCATTCTCTCTTGAGTTGCAATCTGAAAGAGAGAAAGACTGTTGATGGGGGAAGGTGATGAAAGAGAGCGATTTACATATTTTAAGTCTTGACTAGGGGCTGATGATCTTCTCTAACTTGGTTTTTCCACCCAAGTATTAATTTCTTCATTACCCCATGGAGTGTACATTTGGATTATCCAAATTGGGACAATTCCCTTTTGTCCAATCAGCAGTGTTTTAGACTGATATGCCATTTAGACCATTCTGTGAGAATAATGTGAATGAGTTACAAATTAAACTGAGATGTTCAGCTGAGAAATGAACCTATAGGGGTTCAACTACAGCACACTCTGAGGTACCCATTACTGTGGGAATGGATGTTTCTAAGCTGATGACATTTACATCAAAAATTTACTTTTACCACAAAAAGTTGTGATGAGTGCACTATTTCTGTTATACAGCATACCTCCAGCCATCAACTGTTGCCCATCTTGCCTAAGAGAAAGTAACCCACAGATATATTCAGGAGAGATGAACCAATGTTGAGCATGCTCCATTTGGCTCCAGTGGCTCAACATTGATGCTGAAAGTTGGACCGTCAATGGACCCTGTATTGATGGTTCATTGGAAACATTGCATATCCCATTTTTAGCCCTGTAAATTTCTAGTAGGTTGCCTGGATATCAGAGGATGCTCATAGTGGTAGAAAAGGCATATTGACAGATATTATGGATGTATATAAATCCAGAGGTGAAGCACGTGCTCATGCTGAAAACCACATGAATTCGAAGTTAATCTTGAGAGCGTGTTGTTTTCCAAGAGACTAGAGGCCTGGGGCTGGTTGCACTGCCTTAGTTAAGCCAGACTTTTGTGCAAAGTCTGACTTTGGAAACCTGTCTAATGTTTTAGCCTATTGCACTGACCTTGACTAATCTCAAGCCATCCTCAGGGTGTCTTAACTGAGTATAGTCTGGCTTGATGTGTCATTATCTGATTTTCTTTGGAAGCTGTGGTGATGACTGACATGAGATAGAAGTATAAACTTCCAGAAGGATAATCTGGGAAAGGTTTGATTCCTTGTAACAGCTAAGTGGTTCTGAACATTATGAAAGGTACAGACTTGACAGAGAAGGAGTTTCCAAATTGACTGATCTGCTGGCTAACCAATGTCTTCTCCAGTTATGCTTATGACTGCTTCCAAGATTCTATATACTCTGGGAGTAGTTGCCCTTCCCTTGTTCAAGGTTTCTTTTTCTTAGACAGTTACATTTTCGCATCCTGTACAAGATACCCCTTTTTTTTTTCTTGTAGTCATCACCAGATTTTGGGCTTCAGCAACACTGGTTACCTTAATAGCTGCTTTAACATTGCTTGGTGCTCCTTAAATTATACCCTTGATGCTTAAATTGACAAAAGTTATGACAATAATTTAGGTAGTACTAGAATTACTTCATATACATAGAGTAAAAGATTGAGCCATTAATGAGAATTAGACCCATTTTACCTCCACCACAGCATAACAAGTGCCCTTCTTTTTGGCGTTGCTTAGAGCTGTGTTGCACTTTGAAAAGTGAAATTATTTCCATTCTTGGATGTTGTCTGTGAGGGAAAGCTACTCAACCTCCTTGAAATTCCTTTTCTTTGGAGACATGATCATGAGGTTGAATTTTACATCATCAAAAGTCTGGAAAAGCTTTGCATTTTCTGAAAAAACCAAGCTTGCAAAGTGTGAAATCCCTCAATCTTAAATGAGAAAGTCTGACTAGCATTAGTCAGAGGCAGTGCAACAGAAGCTTAAATCCAATTTTTCCAAGTCAGACTTTGGAGAAGTCTGACTTACTCAAGTCTGACTTTGAAGGGATAGTAGTGCAACTGGCCCCTGGTTTGGATCTTCCTGAAGATGCATTATTTGGCACCATCACAGGTGACAACATGTAAATAATGGGCTTGTACTAAAGATTTTTTTATTATTCAACATTAAAGTAATAAAGTAAATAGCAATATGTATACAAAATAATGGGGAAGACTCCTGAAGATGTGTGCTGTTTCTTCACTGTGAATGAGCTACTTTCAGTTGGTCATTGATTGAGATGGTAGAACCTGCCACTTATAGGCCAATGACTTGGCACTAATGAATGAAGTAGCCACCCATTATTGAATTGATTAATGATGATACTTGGGGCCAATGATGAACTAATCATGGCAAACTCATGTTCACATGGATTTATGCTACCTTGGGAACTATGACAGTTCTGTAATCTATCTATACAATCAATTTGTCTTGCATTTTTTTCCTTACCAACAGGAGTTATCTTTGAGTTTTGCCATAAAAATTCATCTCCAGACTGAGAGCACTTGTGGACATTATCTTGAGTTGAGGTGATATGCATCCTCTTGCTACTTATCTCTCTTGAGTAGAATGAAAAGCATAGAAACCAATGTGCATTTTGCTGTTCAGTAGCTTAAATGCAGTATTTGTTTTTCTGTTTGAAAATCGTTGACCTTGACTCTGACTCATCTACCTTTGGTTTCCAGCAACCTAAAGAAAAAGATGGAGAGATGAAGATGAACTAATTTTGAGCAGTGGTAGGAGGAAGGCAATGTAAAGATAAGTTTGTTTAATCCAGATTCTCTGAATTTTCTGAACGAACAAAAAGTTGCTTATGGGATGAGGTGCATAATGTTATTGAAACTGAAATATTCTTGTGAGGGAGTATGATGCTCAGTGGTCTAGAAGTTCAAGGGGAGTCAAATAAAATGAGTATAAGTCAGGCCTATAAAATTCTCACTTGCCAGAGGTGAATGCAATTTTCAGTTTGGCAAGTGGGAAGAAGGTGGACTGTCTTGTGAAAATGAATGAAATGAATTTGTGAGTGAAAAGTTAACTAACCCTTTTGCTACTGTTTATGCAATATGACGTGTTCAGTGCAACGAACCTCCACTGTCATGCTAGGCAAGGAGACGTCGGATGGGCAAAAAGTCCTCAGCAGTGAAAGGGTTAACAAAGCATTCGCATCCCTTCCCCCTTGTGCAAGTTTCCATTGCCCATCATAATAACTAAGATGTGACAATGCATAAGAAAGTCCTGGCTGGAGCTCCATTTTCAGCTATAAGGAAGACAGGGAGGGTAAGTACGAGGGTCATACCCAAATAGATGCTCCAATTTTTTGTCTCAAAAGCCTTTTATTGTACAGGAACACAAATTTCACAGAATGCACACACCTTTTGAGATCCTTTAGTTTTTTTTCCATATGGTTTTCATCCCTTTTAACCTTTATCTGATGAATTTAAATCTCCCACATAAGCGCTGATGGCCAGATATTTTCTACAAAGCTCGTAAACACTCGCTAACTGAGCTATTATTCATTTAATATCAGAACATTTTCCCCCAAAAGTTTCAGTACAGCATCTGTACCTTTAGGCCCTGGAAAAATGCATTCTATGGCACAGCAGTTGCAACATTTGTTCAATAAAGGTTAATACATTTTCACAAACATTGAACAAGACCTTGTTTGCCAGCACAGTCGAAAAACTTTTCTGCCTCATGTGATCATTTGCAAACTGCACATTTCCCTGCATCAACATCTTCTAAATGTTTTCCATGAAGTCCATCCTTCAAGGCACTGAAAAGATGGATGTCTGAGGGTGCCAGATCTGGTTAGTATAACTGATGTGGGAGAACATTCTGTTCAATTTTCCCCCAGACTTTCATCTTTTTGGTGCCTTGAAGGATGGTCTTCGTGGAAAACATTTTGAAGATGACGATTCAAGGAATTGTGCAGTTTGCAAATTATTGCATGAGGCAGAAGAGTTATTTTACTATGCTGGCATACAAGGTCTTGTTCAAAGTTAGTAAAAAATGTGTTAAAAGGGATGGAAACCTCATGGAAAAATAACTGAAGGATCTTGAAAGGTGTATGGATTCACTATGAAATTTGTGCTCCTGTACACTAAAAGGTATTTGAGAAAAAAAATTAGGAGGCATCAATTTGGGAGTGACTCTTGTATGTTGCCTGGCTGGTGAAAATTGAGAAAGTTTTCAGGGCCAGTGCAAGTGCTTTCATTAATGAATTAGTTACAAACTGAACAGTATAAAATTGACCAATTTCTCAGCAATTTCTTCATGCATGATAGAATTTGCCAATGTTCAATCCAGTTTCATGATTGCTGGACAAGCCATTCTTTTAAGATATTTCAAGTCCACTCAAGAATGGCATTTCCTATTTCAGGTCTTCATCCATAGCTTGAACCCCTCAAATGATCTTTAAAAAACTGAGAACATTGCATCCATCACAAGGACCTGGATTTTTAGAATATAACATGTAGAGGCATAATTCCACCTTCAGTTATTGGATTGTAACTTAACTTTCATCCATGTCTGATAGCAATCATGGTGAGAGCACTCTTCCTCCTACCTGGAGAGAAGGGGTTGTAAAAGAGGTTGTATCAGTTCATCCTGTACCATGAAAATACCTTAGTCTATGGTTCTGAAGTTGTCATGGGGACAATCCAGGAAAATGCAATGCTCTCCTGTTCACAAAGTTTTTCAAGCCTGTCTCTGAGAATTTTCATTGCAACCAGTTTTGAAGAACAGTTTGAGGGAGACAGGCCATGGATGTCAACCTGTACTACAGACTGCCATTTACAAATGCGCTCAAGGAAACCCAAAAGAACAATTGGCTGCCCCTTTAATACCTTTTACCCACACATTTGCTGACAAGCTTTTATCTTGCCTATCAGAGCATGGAATGCATGTTATGTATCTCTATGTGTCCATACTTGTTGAGCTCACATGTTTAACTGCTCACATTCAACAGGTGGAATCTGAAGAGAAGTATGAGAGAATTGGAGGAACAGCTACAGGTGGAGGAACATTTTGGGGACTTGGATCCTTGCTTACCTCTGCCAAGGTTTGTCTTTCTTCTCCTTTCAGTATTTTCCTCACAAAGCAACTTCTTTCCATCAGTCTTCAAAGAAAATTCCATTATTTTGAGAACTAAATAAGACTACTTTTATCCTTATATTGGGCAAGGCAAAAAATGCTACTCTCCTAAAAATTTATCTGTGGTTTTCACTCAAAAAGAATAGAATGACAACCTTGAATGGAACATTGAATGGAATGACATTTTTCAGGGGAAAGGGAACAATATAATGCAATGGAACTTGATGTTAATAACAGTCTGTAAAGGTTTGTATAGTTTCTTTGTTCATTTTCTTTTTACCAGGAATAATGAAGTCAGACTCACATTAGAAATGAAACATCTATTCCTTCCCATAGTCCTCCTTGCTTAGCCTGTCTCCAAATTTACTTCTTCTTTCCTCCTATCTATTGCCTTGGAGACAGAGAATCTATACCGTGTCAGGCATGTAAGTAATTCTGCCCTTGGACCTCGTGTACCCCTTGTGGACCCCTCGATGACATCATTTTCTCTCTTGTGCAATGCCTGCATTGTAGAATAAATGGAATCTGGTCCACAATCTTGGAATGAATATAGGAACACATTTGAGTTGCCAATGTGATAGAGAGAATGAATTTGCAGCTCCACTCTCAATTGTGGGCAGATTCTTGTTCCTGTCCTCATTAGGCAAACTCTCTAATTAGAAGGTGGAACTTGAAGTTTGTGCAGGAAGTATCTGATGGTCTTTTTAAGATAAAAGAATCCAATGAGGTTTTGCATTATCTGATTTTGGCAGCATATTCAAAATATGGTGACGTTTTTGCTTTGCCAAATTGACAAGCCAATGACCATATGCTCTGCTGAGAGAGTTTGACAGAAAATATATTGTCCTGTACCTGATTCCATTTCTTTACCTATTTAATGATAACTTCTTTTTTTTCCCATGATTCCACTTCGCATATATCTAATAAGGGTTCAAGTGGTCAAATATCATCGACTTTAGTCATTCCTCTGACAGGGATTTGCTCAATAAATTCAGGTGGCCTCCCCAAATATTCTTATTTTAGCTCTCTAGCGCATATACAGGGTGGGCCAAAAAAAATAAACAAAAGCTGTCATTTTTGGTCAGTTGTCAGTCTCTTTGTAGGCTGCTGATTTCAATTAAAGTTGGTAGACTTATAGGGTAACATAATTACAGTTTGCCTGCCAAATTTCAGCTTTCTGGCTCCAAAATGATGAGAGCTGTAATTATTTTATTATGACCACTGACAAAATGTGCTGTCGTAAATATCGATATGAACTAAGGCTGGGATGAAAGGGAGGTTGGAATTCATGAACTTCCATCCCTGCATGTTGCTACAAAGGGAGATTGGGAGGCTTGATATCAATGGTTTATTGACTGAGTCATTGATCTGTCGTGTCCCAGACACAGGCTAGTGTTCAACAGAATGGAGGACACATTGAGCACCTTTTCATCTGAAATTAACATCCCTAAAGTTGTGGGCTTTCTTGTTTGGCATTTGTGCATTTGTTTTTGTTCTGTTTGTTTGTTTATTTGTTTTTTTAAGTTATAAAAGCTTCTTTTAAGCTGAAAGAAAAAATAAACACTTGCTTTTTTGGTGATGAAATGTTAATTAAATGCCAATCTCACAGTTTTTTTTAATTTTAAAATAAAACTTGGCATGTAAACCCTTATTGAGTCATCCTACGTGTCTATTAAATTTAATCAAAACTGACAACCTACAATCAGATTGGCAACTAACCAAAAATGATAGCTTTGTTTTTTGGCCCACCTTGTAGTTTCTGATATGCACTATCCCAAAGTTTACCCTTCAGGGAAATGTGATACCATTGGTCAAATGGTCATCTTTGGCCATAATTAAGCTAAAAGAGTGTTTTTGACTCAAATTGAAGCTGAAATAAGGCAGAGTCAGGTTTGCTGTTTACTTATTTTTTTTTTTAATCTTTACTGCCAAAAAGTAGTAAATGTTCAAAATTGTAAGGAAAAAAGCCCAAAAGTGATGTGTGGAATGATGAAGGGAAACTATGCATAGGGGAGCTTTCCCCCCCTTTCTGAAGTGTGTGAACATTTGTGCAAAAAGTGCAACATACAGGATGGTGTGAAAATTAGTCATCCCAAAGGGGCACCCTCATAAAGTCACTTACATTTCCATCACTACTTTTGAAGCTAATTGCAAAAATATTCATGGCCCACTGCAACCACTATTTCAGCTTAGGCATGAGTACTTTTCTAGTAATCTATACTTATATTAGACATTTTGCAGATTCCTTGTTGCAACAAGGGAGGATGATGAGTGGGATGTGCAACACCTTAAAGAGCTGTCATTACATGGTAGGTGGGGCTAGAGGAGCTCTATTTATTGGCATAAATAAATTAATGTAATCAATTAAGTAAATATTTAATTAGCATAATTAGAGATGAACTTCCTTTATGAAACATAATGAATCTTTATATAAATTTTGAGACATTGGGTACATTTTCTCAGAAACAAAAAAAATGTATTGTTTCAGTAAATTACCCATTTCAGCATGATAAAAAATAAGGATGCAATATGCCAAAAGCAGAATGCCTTCAGCAAAACAATTGTAGACCTTGGCTCTTTTTTTTATGATATAGGAATGATCTACTTACCCCAACAGCCTATGTATACTTTTGCTTTTAAGAGTTCAGATTACCCAGTACAAAGCTAACAGCTGCTATTGTACTGGGTGACCAGCTGATAGCAATTTGCAACTTTGTAAAGTTAGGCTGATTAAGAGTTTTTCCAGAAAATATGTATTTGTGGTACATGATGAAGTAGCATATGAGATGGGAAAGGAAAGCTCATTTTGAGAAATTTCTCAAAAATGGCATTCTTGGCCAAAAGTCTACTTTTTGACACCTAATAGTATACACGCTGAAAAAAAAGACGCATAATTGAAATATCATTATATTGTAAGTACAGTTCAATGAAGTTACGTTTAGCTATTAATTCAAGTAAGGCAGTGAGAGAACTCAAGTGCTTGAGACCATTTTACTCTTGAATATGCATGATCTGTAATTGATTGTGCATGGTTTGAAGTTTTACTTAACAACCCAGTGGATGTGGATACCATTCATTCAATGAAACCTGGTGCAATGTTGCATAATGCTGTTTTCAATAAAAGGGCTAGGTTCTTATCCATTGGTATGCAGTTGTTGTTGTGCAGTACCACCGTCAAGGATGCCAAGACTCTCAGAGGCAGATAGCAATAATATCATTAGGAGATTGGAAGCTATTAAATCGCAGTGATCAGTTGCAAGACATTTTAACTTGCACAAGAGTATCGTCTCAAGGTTATAGGACTGATTCCAGCAACATAGTTCAACATGTGATAGTCCATGCTCTGGCAGATTACGCATCACCACCCCTGTGCAATCCACCCCTGTGGATCAGTACATTAGATTCGGACACCTCCAGGATCAGTTTGCTTCTGCAACCTCTACAGCATCAGCAGTGCCTAGAGGATGGAAAGTGTCAGCTCAAACCATCTGGAAAACACTTACAGGCAGCAGATCACGACAACCACTTTGTGCATTTGTACTACAAGACCAGAACAGGCAACTTTGTTTGCAGTGGTGTCAGGCATAGGGTATGCTCTCAAATGCATTGGAGAACAGTCATAATCAGTGATAAGTCCTGGTTTCTTCCGAGAGGTACTGATGGTTGCACTAGGACTATGCTGGACTAGGACTTTGCACTTCTTTTTTTAATGAATATACATAAGGGGTTGAGATTGAGTCTATAACCTTGTCATTTGGTACTTAAAGAGGAGTTGTTGCATTAGTTGTTGCCTGAAATCTGAATCTTTTTTCTAGCACTTTCATTTTCTTAAAAATTTTGGAGCCCAAAACCCACCCCCACTGACACACCTTAATGTCAAGAATTGTGAATGGTGGGAGACAAAGTAACACAATGAGCTTTTAGAGCATTGCAAGGCAATAGCAGTGAAAAGATCTTCATCTGAGCTTGTTTATTTGTTTGTAACAACAGCAAATTGAATTTGAAGTATTCCATATTACCTATTTACTTTCACTTGAAGGTTCATAATTCTCTTTTTAAATGAGGTGCAAACCTGAAACAAGTGCCAAGTCAATTCTACCCCCAATCTCTTTCTTCTGATTTATGCTGTTAATTTGAATTTTTATGCGTCGGTTTTTTTCTTACCTGAACTTGCATTCATTGGGTCATTCCACATCAACTCAACCATGATGTGTGCCTGACAGTTTCTGATTTTCTTTAAAGTTGGCAGAAAGTAAGATATGATGGCTCCAAGCATCAATATCAAATTTAATAGAAATTGGGCAAGAATGAGAGATGTCCTTGCTAGTTTTGACACCACTCTGCTCCTTCTGGGTTGCTACTGCATAACACATGCAATAAGTTTGCTCCTAATTAAGCTGGAGAGGTGTTTAATGTCATTTTTAGCGCTTTTTTGTTGTTTCTAGTGCCATCAAAATCAAAACTATATTTAAACATTTTTAATATTTACATTTTTATTTTTAAGCACCACCCACTGGCCAAGGTGCTAACTCAATCAAGTCAAAATTCTACTAAAATATAATTCATGAGACCTCTATTATTTTACAAATTTGCACATTTGATTCCTGTCATTTGCATGAGTTACAGGGAAAAAAGGGTAAAAGCTACCATAAACATGGACGATCGTGACTAACGCTGATTCTAAGGATGTTCCAGATATGAGAAAAGCTGAAATTTGATGCACAAGTATTTCTCGTGGTGCTGATTTCAGAAAAGTTGTACTTTTGAGGAATATACCCTTAGGGCACATTTCTTGGGAGAGGTACGTTTTCCCCGGAATGGTTTACGCTCCAGCGGAACTGTAGCCAAAATTATGATGTAAAATGTACTGTAGCCAAAATTATGATATAAAATGTACTGTAACGCAGTGTAGGAAAAAACAAAATTTCCCGCGAACTTGAGGCGACAATTGAAATTTCCAGAGAAGAATATGCAAGCGGACTAAGCGGGCCGCCGGCCTGCGCGTCTCCGTTCCCGCGAACCTCGTTCGCAGGTTCGCAAGGGTTTTCCTAGCCTGCGTAACGGTATTGCTTCCCTTCCCTTCGTTATATATTTCAGAGCATTCTCTTTCAGCTTAGAAATTTGATGAATTGGCAGAAGTGAACAGAGAATTTTTAGAAATTTATAGAATTCTTGACATAAATGCCATTGTAATATATGACGTCACCTTGGAAACTTGGGCGCACGTCTGACGATTTCCCTTAATATCATTTACCAAAAGACCCGAAAGTCACGGTCTTATGAGCAGAACATGACGATGCATTGTGCTGTACGTGTGCTCCTCGCGAATCAATACTTGATGAATTAGAACTGCTACCTTCGCCATTTCCGTCTCTGCATAGATTTTCGGGATCATGAGAGAGTACTAGTATGCTTCATTAAGAACACTGCCAAGGATGCGTGGGAACTAAAAAAAAAAAACAACCTTAGTGAAAGAAATGTAATGATGATAATAATGATGATTGAATGTCACGTGATTGAATTGAAGTAAGACATCCTCGTGTCCAAGATCGCTAGGACGGCTGAACGGTGTATTTTTCATTTTGTCCATTCTCAATCTGAAAGGGACGGGGTGGGGTCATGACAAGGAAACTGGGTGGCAGAAATCTGATCAAGGATGAACTGGAGGTTGCTCCCTTCCGGGACAGGGCGAGAGGCAACTGAGACGAGTTTACAGCCGTAGCAGGACTAGGAATAAGACGTGGACGTACTCCAGCTAGTCCTGGGCCATCCGGCCGTTGACACCCTAAACTGATGATGTAGCCCCCCCCCCCGTTTCCCCTTCGAAAGTCTCTATCCCCGGCAGGGGAAGGAAATCAGGGTACGAAAGCAAATACCAGGAGCGTTAGAGTGGAGACTTCCTTGGCCTAGAAGACACTCAACCCTTGTCACTGCGTTTTTCCTCTGCCTCTAGGTGTACGTGCCCTCCATTTTTTTTGTCAGAGTTTCGCTAATTGCCATTACTTTCGATACGCTGCTCAGGAGGGACGCATATTCGTATTGTATCACGATTCAGGAATTAAAATTTCACAAGGCTCTTGGCCCATTAACCTCCAGGAATAGTCAAGAAGTTGTTTTCTGTGCATATTTCATTGAGAGCTCCCGTGGCGGATCGGGGGGGGGGGGGGGGGGGGGGGGGGGGGGGGGGGGGGTACTGATTCCATATAATGTGGGAAATATCAACGCTCTTCAGTAACAAACGACTTAATAGTTCCTTGCAAGAAATTTCTCTTCCCAAATTCCTTATTTAAAAAAAATGGGGGGGGGGGGGCATCGGAATGATTTACGGAGATTTTGTAAATTATGGCTCCCGTCGCAAAGGCGGCGAATACAGAGATCCTCGGGGATGAGGATCACGACACTACCAACGTCACCCCGCTCAAGGCTGAAAATGTGTTCAGTATGGACTTTCAAGTCCACGGAAATAAGGTCCGGCATTTAAGAGTAGTAGGTGGGATCCAGGTTGGGTAAACTTTAAAAGCGGAATCAAGTTTGAGCAAGCTAATGAGATGAATTAGTCTCGAGCTTCAGACAGGAGAAAGTTTACACTGAGTACAACACTCATCTGCAAAATTGTGGTCTGCAACGTTATCTCATGCAGGGGGAATTTAAAGGCTCTTCGTGAAATCTCAATCAACAATGCCTTAATGTAGTTCAATTTATTTCGACACATTAACAATTTAACCATTGTTTAAACAATTTACGCAAGTACTGAACATAAAAATTAAAACATTTCTTCGAGAAATAAAGTGCCATTGCCTAAGTCCGGAGCTGGAAGGTCTCCCACCCTTTCAGGCGAGAGGCATGAGAAAACTCATGGCTGAGACAATTCAAACGCCCTTCCCATGCAAGCATGAGGCCAATTCATGGTGAATAGAATTGTATCATTACAAATTCTGTTTACCCTGCAATTATTCACTACTAATTCAACTCTACAGCGTCAAATGCCCGTCTCAAGCTGAGTTGGGAATCACTGAAATGCTCGAAACTTAAGAGACAGTTGATAATCATTGTGGTCGAGGTTCCCTTATCAGTATTCAAAGACGCCATAAGGACATGCAAGGGCGATCATGCCAAACAGGTCAACTCCTCTATGAGAGAATTACATGAATGCCACGAGGTAGAGGAATGGATCGAACGGATAGAGCCCCGCCCTAAAACAGGAAATGCGCATCAACAGGGATGTTCTCATTCTCGTTTTATCTCATCCACCGAGTTTGCTTTCCAACGACATACCTTCCAGGGACAGGTGAGCACCTTTTCCTATCTGCCTAATATACCATTCCAACAACCAAAAAAAGAAACCCGGGGGTAGAGAGGTAGCGGACGGGACGATCCCTTCCATCTTTCCTCGATCGGAACTCCTATATGAGTCATGTATTATATCCTAAATCAAGGGAATTAAGAGACCTTCCAACCATAAGGAAATCGTCGTGATCGGTGTGCGGAATTCAAACAATGAACAAGGAAAGAGAGAGCAATATCCACTCGAGCTCGAGGAGAGCGCTCAGTTTTTTCTTGGAATGGTGTGCTTCCGTGTTTCCATGGATTTCGAACTGCATAAACCGGTACTCCCTCTAAATAAAATTTTAAAATGGGCGGCGTGAAGCCGCTCAAGCAGTGATAGGAATCACGACGAACGAAGCAACTAGACATATTGAATGTGGGTAACAACTCCTCCCAATTAAAACGGAAGTTATCAATCAGCCTTATGATGAAACAGCCTTCTATCACCTAAGAGACACAATCACCCGAATACATTAGCGAACCTCTCTGCAACATGGCATAAGGTTGTCCGTTCCTTAAACACGCTACCCCCTTGCAATTAATGTGGTATTGAACGGGAACAACTCGTAGATAAGGCAGGCAGCTCGTCGAAAGCTCCGTAACATTCCATGCAATTTATGATTTTTTAATATTTTTTGGCCGAGGAGAATGGGGAATGGAGATGAGAGGGTAAGGCTGCGGAAGAGGACGCTAAGCCTGGCCTGCATACTCATGTGCACCTCCGCCCTAGTCACATTCATTGTCCTCTACCTAATCCGCACCGGCAGGGGCACCGACCTAGACCCGGTCGAGGAGTTAACGGGGAAGGAGGAGGAGGAGGTGGGAGTAGCAAAGCGGAAGGAAGCGGTGGTGGCGGAACTGCCTAGGCAGCGATGGGAAGACACGGGGAAGCCTCTCATCCCTTTCTTCTCGGCATCAAATCAAAACTCCAAATGCCCCCCCGGAAGTGCCCCAGACTATTCTGGTACTTGTCGTACCATCTTCACAGGATGACACTTCGTTGTTTCGCGTTGTTTTTCACTATGTTCCCCCTTTGTCGTGATGGGATGAAGGAAATTACAGATACTTTTTCTCTCAATCAATACAATGTAGTCTTTATTCTGGGATCACAAACCACACTCTCACTTCAACGCTTCAAAAGTGAAAATAAGAAAATAATGGTGATTGGCGAGCGAGAGGAAAGCAGCTGCATAGAAGGAGCACAAGGACGGTATTATCCATCGAAGTAAATAGCTTTCTGACACTCCCCGTTAAAGTCCTTCGAGTATCCCTCGGGGCAATCTCCCGTCTCAGTGCCTCCACCGATGAAATATTTACTCTTGCACATTGGCAAATTATGTATGTTTCCCCGGTTGTCTGCGTCTTCCCTTGGGTCGTAACAAGGGGGAGTGGGCGTGGTGGTGGCAAGGAAGGAGGCGGTGAACCAGGCGGGTTCATCTTCTTTTCCCTGCTCCCCCGCCACCTCCGTCCCATGGTGTAGGAGGGAGGCGACCAGGATAACAGAGACCAACAAAACGACGGCCAGTACACCCAGGATCCAATATACACTAACAGCACGGATTCTCTTTCTCCTTCCACTCTCCTCTTCCTCTTTCTTCCCACCCTCCGTAGTCATTTTCGATCACTCAACCATCAACAAACCTGGTGGCAGGAGATCCGTCAATCCTCATGGAAAGTGCTTACAAAGTACTTACGAATAACCTCTATTCTAAATTCCACACATCTCACACGCTCAGCTCAGTTGAGGAGTCGTACCACTTGTACACTGAAAACGTTATGCCTAGTGCTTATATTAGTTGACGGCCACATTCACAGTATGTTGACACTTCCCACGGAAAGGACTTTCTTCAAACATGGGTAGGGCCGGGGAGGGGGGGGGGGGGGGGGGGGGGGATTTCCCCTTCCAGTCTACCCAACCCGCAAATGGGGGCGGGGGGGGGGGGGGGGGGGGGGGGGGGGGGGGGAGGAGGATTTCCCCTTCCAGTCTACCCAACCCGCAAATGCAAATAGCAAGCAGTTGTTCGTTTAAACTAAAGCCCAGGGCAGCCGAGAGAGAGAATCTAGCCAGGTGGGACTGGGAGAGAGGAAGTCAAGGCAAGGGAGGGAGATGATGATGATTACGATATTCCCGGTTGGTCATATGGAACGGAGACGGAGTCAAGGAGCCCCTCACACCGGAACGGTTTCGGTTCCTTTTTATCCTGCGTTCCTTCCTCTTTTTCTCCCTTCCTATCCACGATTACAAACCCTTCCTTCTCTCGCTGGCCTCGTCGCTCTCTGCTCGTCCTAGGATGACGCAATCTCATTCAGATCAAGGGCATTAATCCTTCCCTCCTTGGGGTCCAGTTCCATTATTTCTTAGTGGACCTGGATTAAAAAAAGAAAATGGCCTATTACAGCACGTTCCTGTGCGCGTATTCCTAATTTCGTTGTTAAACGATAATTTAAGCCATAATAACCTGATCGTTGAAACTTAATCAACATACATCCAGACAATGTGGATGGCTTCGCTATCTAAAAAAAAATTGACAGCGAACTTGGTCATAGCCAAGTCGGTCACCTCTTCCCCCCATTTTTTTTAAATAAGGAATTTGGGAAGAGAAATTTCTTGCAAGGAACTATTAAGTCGTTTGTTACTGAAGAGCGTTGATATTTCCCACATTATATGGAATCAGTTTCTTCCTATTGGACACTCCTTACTTGAAAGTTTTTCCGGACGCACTGCAACATGCTTGTAATGACTGATGTGCAGTTGAAAACGTGTTTCGGAATGCTGACAATAGGAATGAAGCGGGTATGCGTGAACGATGAGCAAAAATAATTTTCAGAGGACTCCTGAAGAGAACTGGAGCTTCCTGTAGCTTCCTTGTGTCTAGGGGGACGCGTGGAATGAACTCCATGCTGTACAAAATACATTCATTCTTCAAGAATTTAAAAACAAGCAGTAGAAGGCCGAATCCTTCGCCATGGAAAAGAGGGAGAATCGTGAATCATCATCGTCATCATCAAGCTTGGATCGAACTCAAATTCTGATGTGATCCACACCTCGGACTTCACAAATAAAATTAGTAACTTTTTGTTTCTTGGTTCCTCAACAGATGCCGTTGACATTGGCCCACAAGAAAACCGCATGTACGGGAAACCACCTTTGTTGGTTACTTTCTCTGGCCATTAGGCATTAAAAGCATCTGGTTCTCAGAGAAGGGAAGAACGCCTCAGAGAAGGAACATGGATATAGTGAGACCATACAGTAGCAGAAAATACAGAGTGGACCAAAAAATGGACAGTTTTTAACGATACATTATACTTCAATAAGCATATATTTTAATGATCAGATCATGAATGATCAGTAGAGGTGTCGGTTTTTGCCTGCATGTCTCTGGAACAGTTGGAGAATCTGTTTTTTTTAACCCTTTCAGGGCTATGGTTTGCACACCTTTTCACCCAAGACTGATTTGCTCAGATGTTGACTGAGCTATGACTAAAGTACTGTGGGAAACCAGTTGAAGTGTCTCATGCAAACAATTGGGAAATTAAATGACCCAGAGTTATCTCTTGTGAGGTTGCAGACAATGACAGTTATGAGGTGGATAGACTAGTGCAGATTATTATCATTGATATGAGTTTTGATTTTGTTTCTCATGTGAAAGGTTTTGGTGATATACATTATCAAAGTGATATCCAAGGCATAAATAATGTGAAGAAAAGACAATTCCTAAATGAGGGAAATTGAAGGAATGCTTGAAGTCCAGCAGTAGGAGTATTCATATATTACCAACTTGAGAGTTTCATTGGGAAAATTAAGCATAAAGAGCAGTTAGCTGTTTTTTGTCATTTGTCATGACCTCCTGAAGTATGAAAAGTATTTAAGATTTCCAAGAGACTTTGCATTCATGTAGGAAGAAATTGAAGGTATCCACTATGCATGGACTGATCAGCTCTGTCATAGCTCTGCAATTTTTTGCAGAGCTGTGACAACTTAGCATGGCCTTGTCTTATTTTTTTATACCCTTCATCCACTTGGATACATATCTCCATTCCTTTCAGGTTTTTACTCAATATATATAAACCCTCTCCTATTCCTTGTCTTTAGTCTTATGAGAGGTCCAGTGTCCTAAGTAAAATGTTTTGCCACTCTGCAAATCAAATGTTCTCATAGAATTGCATCATCCAGTTACTCCCCTAGGCCTCATTTCACCTCATTTCTTAGTTATGAGCTTATCTTCCTTTTGTTTGTATTCCTGTCATTTGTTTTCTTTCTCTTGACTGGGTGAACCCCAAGGTAGAAGTTTGATGAGCTGCTGGAGCTAGCAGAGAGAGGTGACCACCGCCACATTGACATGTTGGTCCGGGACATCTATGGTGGGGATTACCACACACTTGGTCTACCTGGGGACCTCATTGCTTCCTCCTTCGGGAAAGCTGCCTACTTATCCCGTATGTCTCAACTCTACACTTTTGAGACTTCCTGTGTGATATTTGTTTCTTTAATGTCCAAGGTCTTCGGTATGGTCACAAGAAAAATTGCAGCTTTTTTTGGTATTCATTCACAAACATGGAGTTAGCCTTCATAATTTTTTTGACCTTCTTTACTACTAGGAAAAGCCTCAATAATGTTTATTTATTTAAATGCATTCAACTGAAGGAATTGTACACCAATAATTCTGAAGGTCCTTAGTGATGTAAAGTGATATTGTTAGAGCAGATATTCAAATTCACTTAGAGGAATGTCAGAAGTATTTTGTTCTTTTGTACAGGGGTGGTTAAAATTTGACCTGGAATTTAGTTTATAAAAGGCAGAGTGATGTATGTAGATTATTTGGGGGGACTGGGGAATTTGTTTTTATAATGTTGGTACCAGCGACGTATTTTACAGGGGGCAGCCGCCCCCCCCTGGCGCCCATAGGACAGAGAATGGTGCCCCCTTGGAGTAAATAATTTTCTCACCTGATATCACTCAGGTAGGGTTTGGCACCCCTGCTCTGTTGCCTTGCCCCGCCCCCAACCCTTCAGCCAAAATACACCACTGGTTATACCACTGGCCCTTATCCACAATCACACATTATTTGCTTAATTACATTAGCTAAAAATCAAGATGTGAAAGTGTGATCCACATGCTGCAAGATCACAGCTACCTTACTACTCAGCATGTGGTTCATTCCGTACACTTTCAAGTCCATATTTAAATAATTTTCACCAGTCTAATACAGATGTTCTTCACAAGCAACCATCACCATTACTCCATTGACACTAGTTAGTTGATTTTAGCAGTTTTGTTATTCTCATCAATCAGCAATTTTGTAAGTTATTTGCTGTTCCACCTTCTTTGTCACCTCAATTGCTGCATCTTGATTTTCAGCACATGTAATAAAGCAGGAAACTCTCAATTGTGGATATGTTTGTACTAACTCCATAAAGACAAATTCCCTCCAAAATTTTAAATCTACATACATTCTCTGCCTTTTATGAAAAAAGTCCTGGTAAAATTTGAAGCACTCTCATATTCAAGTGAAATTGAGTTTCATAAGCTGAGAGAGAGAGTTCCTGAGTTGAATGTTATGCACAAGGTATCGAGGGGAAGGGGTTGGAGTATAATGAAGCAGATGTGGCCCGAAGTCTTCTCTTCACCATCAGCAATGATATTGGCCAGATTTCATGCCTTTATGCCATCCAGCACTCACTCAAAGATGTATGTCTCCTGTCTATGTAATCTCTTACCCCGAGAGGAAAAGAATCTAAACAATGTATGGCACATTCTACAGGTGTACTTTGGAGGGTATTTTCTCAGAGGACACCCTTTGAGCATGCACACCATCAGCTATGCTATAAACTACTGGGGTAAAGGACAGGTAAGAGCATTGTTCCTCAGACATGAGGGATACCTTGGTGCCATTGGTGCCTTCCTCAAGGGTGCCCATGAGGATCCAGAGAAGTACTCATGGTCAGAGAATTATGCTGGAAGCTCTGGATTGCGAAGCCCCATACCCATGCAGCTCCTCAATCCCAAGTATTCAGTATCAATGGATCAACTAGAGATGGATCAATTCCACATGCAGCTTTCCTTCTGTCCTCTCCTGGCGAATCCCCACATTTACAAACCTGACACAGTGGATCTCAATCAGGACACTCAGGCCAGGTTCCTTCTTCTCAATGTTCATTGCTGTTGTCTCTTTTGGGTAGATGTTCACGGAATGTGATTGATGCAGGGAATACTGGCTGCAGTTGTTTGAGGAAACAGTGGATGGGTTCATTGAGGAGGCTGTCAGGAGTCAGGCTGAGACTCCAGATTCTGTGACTCGTGCTGCCACCTTCAGGAATAATTTCCTCTCTCGCCTTCACTATCTCCAACGGGAACCCTAGTGAGCTTCTTTACTTCCAGTCTTGGATGGGTCCTGAACCACAACGTTTGAGTTCATCAATGATGTGTGGATTTGTGGAGAACACCTTTTTCTTTAAGGAAACTCCATGAACAAAAAAAATCTGGCAGTCTAAGATCAGGTGATCTTGCTGGCCACGATCAACTCAATCACTTATCAACGATAAGTTGACTAATCGTTGGACTTGATTGGGGTGTTTTATCAGGAAAAAAGATCAAAGGGATCATCGTGCATAAATTTATTGAAATGCATTCACCTCTTACTGTGAAGAGAGAATTTTGATGACTTTTAAAACACCCCCATCAAATCCAATGATTAAAAAGATCGGTGATAATTTTGAAGAGAAAGCGTTATCAGTGTGAGAGGAGACATTCCGTGACTAGTAAGATCTCCTGATCTGAGATCGTCAGATTTTTTTAAATAGGGTTTCTTAAAGGTGTTCTCCACAAATCCACTCACCATTGATGAATTTTCTGTGGTTACAGGGCTCAGAAGCATAACAGAAGAGGCACAGAACAATGTTGCTAAAAACACTTCACGATTTGCACGATATCATGTAGATGCGTCATTCGTATGATATTTGATGCGATTTTTGCTGTTTTCCGTGGACTAGCCTAGTATAATGAAAAGCTTATGAGAAGCGAAATTATGAAGAAAAAAAAGAAATCCTTTGTGGAATTGACTGAACGGATTAAAAAATAGGGCTTCGAAAGTCCCAAGAAGAGAAAATTATCATTATTCCTGACTCCTGGTGACATTCCAAAATTTTGGCTCTATTTCATTCAAGACTCAAAATAAATAAATAAAATTCGCAACGCCTCTCACTTATCATGGTTCTCCAGATAGGGTACTAGCATATAAGTTAAGTTCCATCTCTTCCTGGCCCTCCCCCATCCTCCTGTGGTCTGCTTATATAAATTCCCAAAAAAGGAATACTAGGATTGAGATGAGGAGACCATGAGAAAAAGTCGACGCATTTGTAAGAAACTCGTACGAATTTCGATTAGTAAGCTGCAAAATGACATTGCACCTTCGGGGCAAGGCAGAGTGATCTTAGGAAATATAAGAATGTTAGGAACCATGCAGGACCTAGGGGTAGGGGGAATGACTAGATGTGAGATATGTACCTAGGTATTCTTGTCGTCCAGTGCATATGGGAAGCTGACAGTACGCTCTCTACTGGACATGCGGGAGCACATGCTGAACGAGAGCGAATTTGATGATCCGTACCTGTTGAGGAAGCAAGAGGAGAATGAGGCAGCACTCAAGAGCCTGGCATCACGCCTCAAATACCTGGATGCGCTGGGGTATCAGGAGAGGCAGGTGAGACTCATCGAAGGAATCCTTGCCGGCAATGTTTTCGACTGGGGTGCCAAGGAAGTTGCTGCATGCCTTCGCCAGGGCAACTTCCACTTCGATGATGCTCACCAGTCCCTCCAGAGTATGTGTAATCTTCCTCACTTCAGCTGTCTCTCTTTGGATCATTTCCATGGGTAAACATTTCCCAGCACGATTGAGCAAGAAGAAACATGCCAGGAACTCATCCAACATGACAACAGCTTTCCATTACAATATGCATGCATCAGATTGTTATTTCAAGATCAAGGGAAAAGAGTAGGAAGGGTCAGAATTTCGATGCCTCCGTTGCATTGAACATCTGAAAGAAAGGAGAATGAACACGAAGAAAGATTGTTTAAGAGAAGCATTAACCCATTGTCTACAAATGACGCACCTCTTTGCGTCATGACTTGCTGATACACGTGACGCACCACTATGCGTCATGAAATTCCCAAATCCTCAAAATTTCAGCTGCATCACGTGTGCATATTTGCTGTTGCTTTGAACAAGTAGGGCTCCACACAGACGTCTGTTGCATTTTTGCTGTTTTCCGGTGTACACATGGAAAAAGTTTTGCACCACCCCCAGATCTCTACAGGTTCTTGCCGCGAGGTTTTTGGTTATATTAATAGCTTTGCTGTATTTCATCCAAATTACATCAAAATTTCATCAAACATAACAAACACATATGGCAACAATATATAATAAGGATTTTTCAAAATGTCCACCGTCGGCCGAGATACAGGCTTTTAAACGCTTTGGAAAGTTGTCCACGATGGCCGTCAGCTGTTCGACCTTAATGTCGTCCCAAGTCTTAAGAAAATCCCTCTTCAGCGAATCAGTAATTTCTCGGCCTGACTATATCAAACCGTTGGTTCTGTAAGTCGATAGTGTGGGCAATTAGTGTCACTAACACACTTTTCTTCTGCGAAGTTAAGTGCATTTAGCTATTCTAATGCCCGAATAACAATTTGTTTATATTGTCGTATGATTGAATTTACATATATTTAAAAACATTTGAGCATCCATCTGTGATCAAGTTTTAAGCAATGGTAAGATTGTCACTCAGAAAATTAATTTGCTTCTGCACGGTTATGATCATTCACCTTCCTACAGCTTAGTAACGGAAGTGGGTAACTGAATTCCTACAAGGACATGATTCAATTTAAAGTGAACCTCGCCCGGGTCGACCTTCCGAGGTGACAGCAAAGAAAACTTGCGTTAAAAGCTGTTGATGCAGAAGAGACGAATGAAACCGAAGGAAATATTGCAGGTATTGGGTATCTCAAATGACTGTTCAAACCATCTTGCACGAAAAGCTGGCATTGTGGAAGCAGTGGCGTAGGCAGGAAATCGGCAAGGGAAGGGGGGGGGGGGGGGAGTTGAGGCCAGGTAGACACAACAACACTACACCTAGATCCACCACCCGGAATTCACCCTTTCAAAGAAATCATAGTCTGGCATCTTGGGTCTGTGGACGGACATCAGACTTCTCGAAGGGGCATAGCTAAAATTGGAATTCCAAAGGAAGGTTGAAATATGCCTGTCAGTGTCACTGACCGGGAAGCCCATTGGTGGGAGGGGAGTGGTTCTAACCCTTAACCCCTCCCCCCTTCCTTACGCCACTGTGTTGAAGGTCTGTGCCCGCTGGGTTCCCCGAATGTGGTCCGTCGTTCAACGTGGTGACAGTGTCATGATGAGTCGACAGAATTCGGACCGGTTGACCGCAGATCCAGCGGACTTCAGTTCACGGATAGTTGCTAGGGATGAAAGCTAGCTGGACCCCTTGGGATCCAGAGTTCAAACAGCATTCGATGCAGTGGAGGCACAAGGACTCTCGGCCACCTAGGAAGTTTATAGATGCTAAAGGGGCGATTAGAGAAGTGAATTGTTTTTAAGGATGACTATGTTGAAAATTCATTATGAAACTATTTTTGACAAGTCACCGCATCGTAGTCAGCCTGAAAACTTTACTAAGAAAATTCTCCGTTATTATCCAAAAATTAACCGCCCGATCATCAAATACTGCAGATAGTTTTTAAAAATTCAATATTTGGAAGGATTGCACCTTCATAATCGAACTGATATTTTTTACATAGAACAGATGAATAACCTCCTTGCAAAATATAATTATTGGGAAGAGGATAGGGTAAAACGGCAAAACCCGAATACCTGAAGATTGAGTTGAATGCACAAACCATATGATCGAAATGACCACCATAATGTTATTAGACTCGACCGTAAGGTACGTGCGTTCGACTCAATCGTCAGGTGTTCGAGTTTTGCCGTTTTACCCTACGCCCTGTAAACTTGTACATGTACAGTGCATGGGGATAGAAAAACAAGCTTTATAAAAATCTATCAATTACTTTTTGACTCGCTGCATGTAGACTTATAAACACACATGTATACATACCTAGTCCACATTCATGCATAGACACCTACTTATGCACACCCATAACTTACGCACACCCTTATGCATACACATCCATGTGAACACTTCTAGAGCAATACCTCCATTCTCTCTGAAACACAGGGATAAAGGGGTCAAGGTGTTTAATTCCTCATTTTATATTAACGTTCGCCGTTCTTAGTAAAATTGACATCTTTGGTGGATTTGATCAATTTTCTTCCAATGTGATACATTTTTGCTAAGAAGGTGGAACACTTCAAAATATTGAGTTTTTTGAGACCATCTGCTGTGTTTTCCCCCTTAGCGCCATTGTGAAGTTTTACAGTTTCGAATACAAGAGTGACATTTCTGAAAGTAAAGCAATTATTGGTACATCTTTACATGGAGGAGATGTGTTTTCATTGAGGAACTTGGGCTTCCCTACCTTCAGAGTAATTTCATCTTTCACGAAAAAAAGAGCCTTTTACTTTCGTCCTTTGGTACCGAAAGTTGTTTTTTGAGTTGGTAACCTGTCTTGAGTTAAACTATTCGTCTCTGCCTTTTTCCATTAGCTCCTGTTTCTTGTTTTCCTTCCAAACCGTGTCCTTCATTCGACGAGATACTAGAGCATCGTGTTAATGTCCCGCGCACATCGCAGATAATGCAGTCCGTTCAAACTTGTCGCGTGATGATAGGCTTGGATCGGTTAATGTACCGACGATGTGTCGATGGGCAGAACGTCCGTGGCTGATGGACGACCTAGACGTGTGGATGAGGCGCCGGGAGGAAGGACCTTCATATCGTTGCGTGGCCGTATTCGTGGACAACAGTGGGATGGACATCATCCTCGGGGTGATCCCCTTCGTCCGTGACTTCCTCTCCGCCGGATCTCAGGTCCTCACTTTCGTTTTCCTTCGTCGCCGTCGCTGTCCGTGTCATCTCCTCGTGCTTCATCGAAAGTGTTGTTTGCACAGGTGCTGCTATGTGCTAACAGTGCCCCGGCGCTTAACGACGTCACCTACCGAGAGCTGAAGGTCCTTATGGAGGATGTGGCGAAAGTGTGTCCTGTTATCAAAGATGCTCTTGCTCAAGGAATTCTCTCTATTTTGGAGTCAGGTCAAGGGAGTCCCTGCCTCGACCTCAGGTATACAGCCAAATACTCATTTAGACATTCCTCGGTCTTATGTTGGTTGGATATACCTACCATATAATCAACTTGAATGTTTAAAATCCTGGCGGTAACACCCGGAGTATTATTTGCCGACAACTGCATCGAAAAAAGCATCCCCAGACGACCAGTTTCTCAAATCCTGCCGAATATCTGTTTCTAAAATATTATTTACTTAGAGGATTCCCTTATAACTTAGATCAGGGATGCACAACATAAGGGCCCCATGATTGGTGTCGTTGTAAGTGCTACTATGGTTCCTGTCCTGTTGTGTACAGCAATGGTCAACCAGACTAGCGAAAGGTGGGTGGTCTGACGGCCGTACGGCCTACGGTATGTTGGCAAAATTCCCTAATGGCCCTCACAGTCTCTTGAATTGTGCACCCCTGACATAGATGGTGCACTTTCGTGAGCGATGGATCGTATGTACTGCACCAAAGGTCGAAACACCGTAAGATCGGGAGAAGCCAAATTTTCAAAACCCAGTTATCAAATGTCATTTACCATGCCGGTCACAGATCGCCATGGAGGGATTTTTTTTTTTCATTGTTTCCGTGTTGAGTTTGGAAGTGTGACGGTTGCAGCCGGTTAAGTCGGGAGTTATGCGAGGCGATGGAGTCCCGGGGAGTGGACTTGGTGGTCCTGGAAGGAATGGGGAGAGCGGTACACACCAACTTTCATGCGGAGTTCACCTGCGACACACTCCACTTGGCGGTGATCAAGAATCGTTGGCTTGCCCAACGTCTCGGTGGCGACATGTACGCGATCATCTGCCTCTTCCGACAACCCACCCTATCCTGACTTTTCCCATCCTGTTGTGATATCATACCTCCTCGAAAATCTGCTTTCATATTCTTTGAGTTGGCGGTGACCATAGTGGAGATGTGGTGATTTGAGAAAGAAATTGATTTCGCTCTAGCACTGTCTTTATATTTCTATTGTATCCCCGTTCGCATGCGGAGATGGGATGACGGACCATTTCCATGGAAACAGGCGCACCAAATTTTCTAAGCGTATGGCACGAAGAAGGAATTTGTTTTCTCTGTTGATGCACATATGCTTGGAAGAACTTGACGTGTGGTGGGTCTGAGTCCAGCGATGTACAGTAATAGCCCGCTTAGCGCTACCCCGTAAAGCGCTGTTTCGTTTTAAGAGAGCGTGGTTGGAAGTGATATTCCGACAAGAAACACTCATCCAACTTCAGGGGCATAAGAGACTCGACATTGAACCCATATATCTGCATTAGCTGTAGATATTTAAAAAAAATATGTGCAAGGTGACTCGGCAAGCTATAACACTCCATACAAGTACTTCTGGTTCGTGAATGCCGATTCTGAGATACAGAAACTTCGAAAACATGTACAGCATAAATACCCACAATAATTACAGTGAAAACTCGTTAACTCGAACTTTTAGGGACCGGGCAAATCGTTTCGAGTTATCCGAAGTTCGAGTTATCAGGAATCGCCCCCCCCCCCAAAAAAAAAAAA